AAAAAAAAATAAAATTTAGAATTTAGACCACAAATGATTTCACCACTAAAAATTTTAAATAAAACAACATCCAATTTTATATTGAGACCTTTTGAGCACCATAGTTCCCAGCTGGTAAATTAATTTAGTTTCATTTTGAGATCTGTGCCCATGTTACAGATAAAAAAAAAAACACTTAAAAAAAAAAAAATAAAACATATATGCCCAACAAGGACCAGCAACTTACTGATATGTTGCTGGACTTTGAGAGTAGCTATACCGGGATGATGCCTGCAGCTACAGGCATCATCCTGGTATCGTTTTATTCAGCGGGGGGGTCAGCTTTCATGTAAAAGCAATCCTAACTGGCTGCTTGATCATTTTTACAAGCAGTCAGGGTGGATTTGATTTAAATCAAACTGATATAAATCACGATTTAAATCACTAGTCAGTAAGGCTTGATTTAAATCCTAGTTTTCTAAATAAAGACTAATTCTTGCTGGTATAACTTTAATATGCAAGTAGATGAAGATTTTTAGAATAACAACTTTTCATATTAGTTTTTTTATCCCCAGTTTAATAGGTTAATCATTCATATTCGGACAACTTTTCTGTTGTACTTAGGAAGGAGAAAAATAATCATTACCTTAATAATAACAATTTAAATAGATTTATTCAACTGAAACAATAACATTCCAGCATATGTTATTTGCTTAAACATCCATGTTTGTTAACTAATTTGGCTAAACAAAATATATATATTTTAAGAAACTTAGACTGTCAGCCCCTTCCTCCTCACACTTAGTTTCACTTTCTTCTTGTGCAGATCTATTCCACTCCAAGCAATCAGAAAAATATTGTTTCTATTCTATTCACTGAACTTCTTGAAACTTAGCACTGAAGGGGTTTGATTCTGTATTCATAGGTTTGTAGAAGTTAGGATTAAGGTCTTTCTTAACTCTGTTCATGTGATAACATTTTTGCTGTGAAGAGGCATGTGATCTCCGCTGAGTCAAATTCAGTTTTGATAACTGCAAAGTAAACCAAGCATCTGTGATAATATCTTGTAGGCAGAGAAACTGCCCAATAATCTTACAAAAACCTCTGGAAGAGCATGACATTGTGAATGGATTAATGGAATTTATTTACCAAAAAAATTAAACATATACAGCCTTATTCTACATAATTAAAAAACTAATCTGTATTTCATGATGGAATAACCTTTGGATGGTAATATATTTTCCTCAAAAAGCATTTTTAAAAAATCTGATTGAAATAAAAAAAAATCTGATTTTTTTTTTTTTTTTTTTTTTAAAAAAAATCATTGATTTTTATCCACCCTGCAAGCAGTGGGAAGGAACATCCCCCCTCCACCACCACATCCCCCACACCCCCCCTACCTGCCACCTTCCATGGCTTCCACTGGCTCTCTTGTCCCACAGGGAAGTCTGAGAATGCAGCTGGCAATTCCAATAACTGACCATAGAACTGATCGCAGACTGGAATACCTCCAATTATCTTTATGGTCTAAGAAACCGTAAGCTACGAGCATTTAATCCTTTCCGTTTAACTAGATATAAACAAAGAGCCATGGAAAGCCATTTTTAAATTGGGAAAGCATCTGATCACACCGATCGTGTGGGTGATCAGATGCTTTAAGGGCAGAGGAGAGATCTAGAGTCTAATAGACCCAGATTTCTCAGAAAAGAGTACCTGTCACTGCCTATTGCTATCACAGGAGATATTTACATTCCCTGTGATAAAAGAAAAGAAAGGGACAGTGAAAAAAAAAAAACCCTCAATTTTCCTTTCTTCTTCCTTCGTATGACCATGTTCTTGCGTCTGCATGTCTTCTATGGGGGGAAGGGGGGGGGGGGTACAGAGTAAAAGACTAGCAGATTGAATTCATGTTAACCCATGCTAACCCATGAAAGGTAATTATTTTTTCATGATAAATTTACATCCAAAAGAGGGGAGTTGCCTTGGGGGCTAAGTTAGACTAAATGGGAGGAGGCGGAAGACCTATACCATAGACCTAGGAAAGAACTGAGGGCATACCAAAGATATATTGATGACGTGTTCCTAGTGTGGGAGGGGTCTCGGACTTCTTTTAAGAGAAATTAATATAAACAAGTATGATATCGCATTTACAGCCAATTATAGCACTGAAGTGGTTAATTATTTGGATCTAGAAATTTACAAGGAAGAAGATAGGCACTGCACACGTACTTATTTCAACGATACAGATTGGAATGGTTACATTCTGGTCACAAGTGACCACCACCCATGATGGCTTGAAGCAATACCCAAAGGACACATTATGCAGAATAGGTGGAACTGTGATCATGAAGGCAACTTTGACCTACACTTTGACCGACAATCCCAAAATCTGGTCAACAGGTTTGTAGAAAAGGGGCAACAAAAGAAAGGCAGAGCTTACAAAATAAAGAGAATCAGTTTAAGACTATGAACAGGCAAGAACCTCTAAAACCTAAACAGAATAGAACTGATAAATATGGTATTGCCTTTAGTTTGGAATTTAACAGGCAATACAAACAAGTAGAAAAAACTGTTAATAAATACTGGCCCATTCTACAAAGGGACCAATCGTTTGTTAGTGTGCTCTGAAACAGACCAAAATTGGAGGACGCCTATAGAACATTTTGAAGGACAAACTGCTAAAAAGTGTCCCATATCCACCAAAAAAGGTGAAATTTTTGGACCAAGTGGACTTGCAATAAAGACAGTAAGAAACTCGCACATTTTTGATATACTGTTACAGGGAGGCCTTACCAAATAAAAAACGTTCATCAAATGTTAGTAGTACACGTCACCTATCTATTAAAATGTATGTGTGGCTTACAATATGTAGGTAGAACTGCCAGAGAACTGAGGACTAAGCTAAGGGAGCACATTAATAATATAAAAAAAAGGGTTCTGCAACCACAGCCTAACCAACCACTTCAGAATTCATCATAATAGGCATGGCACAAAATTAAAATTTTGTGGAATTGATAAGGTAGACAAACACTGACAAGGTACCAACATGAAAAAGGCAATATCTCAAAACCAAACCAAATGGATTTACCAGCTGGGAACTATGGTGCTCAATGGTCTCAACATAGAATTGGATGGTAATTGTTTTATTTCAAATTTTTAGTGGTGAAATCTTTAGTGGTTTTTTTAATTAATATTATATTTTGTGTTTTTTTATTATTTTTTAATTTTTATCTGTATCTTTGTTATTATATTTATTAAACTTTTTTTTTTTTTTTATTTTAATTTTTTTTTTTCCATTCTTTTAAAAAAAAATTTCGGTTATATTTGCAGTGGTTCTGTCCTGGTTTTTTTGAGTGCGGAGAGCTCATCATACATATATGTAGGTCTGGTGTAATATAAAATATATATAAAAAAAAATAGGGGGCGTTGGAGACATTGATAATGGTGTTTTTAATATTTGGATAGTTTTCATATAATAATCCTTTAACCAATTTATATGAATGTTATATTTAATCTGTTGTAATTATTTGTGGTGTTTTTTTATTTATAATTGTAAGTAAGGTGTATATTGAATGATGTTTAAATACACTTACGCCATCCGCTGGTGTAGCAATATGGTGGATACAAAGTTATGTAGTGAAGCAACGTACACCTGATTAGGATTAACATGGCCATGTGAGTAAGAGAAAGTATCCTCTGTCTTGGGTGTACAAGGCTGACTCAGTTTGGGTGGAGTGGGAGGAACATATGGCATATAAAAAATATATGAGGATAATAAAATATATAGTAAGCGCTCATCAACCGTAACAGCAGCTGAACATAAAGGAAAACGCATAAGAAGTCCCAAAATTCATGTATATATAAATGCAGCGATCTTAGAAAATGATAAGTATGAATGAAACACAGTCCATTAAAAAGGTGCTCCGTGATTCCCCGTGCAAATGGTAGAAATTCACACTAACCAGAAAGCGTATAAGTAATAAATATAATACATATATATATATATATATATATCTATCTATCTCCTGAAGGCTCCCCTCTCCTCTCAGGTCTGGTCAAAGAAATGGCTGGGAAAGGTAGAGATCCTACGCCCTCTTGTGGTGGAAATGTGGTCCAGCAGGTCACAGAAGTGTCTGGATAAGCCTCACCCTTCACAGGAATCACTTAGGGCTGTAAGGATTGAAGAAGCTCCTCACAGGAGACATAGGGAAGCACTCATAGTGTAGTAGGTAAAGATTTTATTCCAAAACACAGGTGCATAGTGAACATGAAATGGCCAAATATGAATGAACACACTGACCCTTATAAAATTCAAGGTGGCCACCGGGCCTCCTCGTTGCACCGGCGGCTTAGTGTCAACGGCGTCCTGGGTTCCACCTAAAGGTTCCACCTGGGTTCCTAAAGGTGAAACCCAGGACGCCGTTGACACCAAGCCGCCGGTGCCACGAGGAGGCCCGGTGGCCACCTTGAATTTTATAAGGGTCAGTGTGTTCATTCATATTTGGCTATTTCATGTTCACTATGCACCTGTGTTTTGGAATAAAATCTTTACCTACTACACTATGAGTGCTTCCCTATGTCTCCTGTGAGGAGCTTCTTCAATCCTTACAGCCCTAAGTGATTCCTGTGAAGGGTGAGGCTTTATCCAGGACACTTCTGTGACCTGCTGGACCACATTTCCACCACAAGAGGGCGTAGGATCTCTACCTTTCCCAGCCATTTCTTTGACCAGACCTGAGAGGAGAGGGGAGCCTTCAGGAAAAAATATATGGTGTTTCCTTTCAGAATAATCTGGTTCATATCAGCAATTATTTCTGCATTCGTTGTGTGTTGGTAACAACGCTGCATGCACGCCCTTCTTGTCATGTGCTCTTGTTCCTTTTTCAAAATTCTCCACTCTATTATCTTTTACTTAACTTTTTTTGTTAACTATGCTAGTTGTTGTCCAAAGTTGGTGTTTGTTCTTGTCATAGCTGTGTAATATCTAGAATGCTTTTATTAAGAATATTATTTGAATTTAGGTGAGGTTTTCGTACTGGATGATGGAGGTGAAGTAGATTTAGATCTTGGAAATTATGAGCGTTTTCTGGATATCCGATTAACAAAGGACAACAACCTAACAACTGGAAAGATTTATCAGTATATGTTATTAACAAGGAGAGAAGAGGAGACTACCTCGGGAAGACTGTGCAAGGTGAGATTTGACCTGTACAAGGTTGCCATACATGTAGCAAAGCTGGTGCTGCCAAATGATATACCAAAATTGATATACTGTATGGAGTGGCATGTTCTTGAGTCCCAGCCAGTTACCTTCTATAGTCAGCAGCATTGCAACACTGGCATATGTTGAATTTACTATTCATTAGACAGTGGGAGATCTAGGAGCTGTAACAAACCTACATCTTGTTAGTGTTCTTAAAGCGGTAGTAAAGTCTGCTTTTCAACTTTTACCTACAGGTAAGCTTATAATAAAGCTTACATGTAGGTAAAATGAATATCTCCTAAATGTGCACGGTTTAGGAAATATTCCAGTGCACAGCACTTGTGCCGTGCCATTCCTTTAGAACTCTGTGCCATGCCCAGGGCTCCTGCGCACATGTGCGGGAGTGACGTCATCGTAGCTCTGCCAATCAAATGGTCGGAGAGCTGCAAACCCTGATGAAAACCAGGTGCAAATGGAATCCCTGTCAGTGATAATAGGGCGCCATTGGAGGGATCCGTTCCAAAGACAAGTCTGACATAATGTGCTAGTATGTCTTATATATATAAAAAAGTAATGGTCTTAAAGTGTAGTTAAATTTACTACTGCTTTAACTCCATTACCTTTATAATTATCTCCAGGGCTTGCATGTATGCTGACACCTATGAATTGCTAGAGCAGTATTCATTGTTGAAAGGGTTATTTCTATGTTCGTGAAACTGATAGATAATGGTTGGTTGTTTCTTTCCAGTTGTCCCTCACATCACAGACGCCATCCAAGAATGGGTGATGCGGCAGGCTTTGATTCCTGTAGATGAAGATGGAATAGAGCCAGAAGTCTGTGTCATTGAGGTATACATATCCTATGTCATTTCTGTGTGGATTGTTTCTGTGGATTTCTTTTTTCTTTTATGTATTTCACTCTGAAACCTTCCATTACTTTTTGCTAAGTTAACAAATAGAGTATTTTTTTTTTCCAAAATAAAACATAGGTTAAACTGTATTCCCTGCTTTTGTTTTCTTTTCATTAAAATGGGAGGATATCTAATGAAAAAGTTCTATTCCTGTGACACCGGAATTAGGAGATTAGGATCAAATCAGTAGAACTGGCGTCACCAAGGCAGGGAGGCACAGACCACAGTAAAAGCCTTGAAGAGTTTTTCACTTCACTGAATAAGTGCTTTGTTGTCTTTGTATCCATTTGAGATTTTTTTCAATTTTCCTGTCAATTTGATTTGTCCCTGGGAAAAACATGAGGGCACCGATTCCAAACAGGGACTCTGACAACAATTAAAAATTTGACAAAGGTGCTGACCTCTTTAACTCTCCAAAAAACAGTTTTGGCTGAAGTTCAGCTTTCAGGAATAATTTAAACTAGTGATGGATGTAGGAGATTATCTGACACTATGTTTCATGATGTCTCAGTTAAATTACTGGTCTTTTTAAAGCACAGGTAAAGTCTGCCAAAAACATTTAAAACCCCATTTCCTCAGTTGAGCAAATAACTGATAAATGCTTCAAAGAGCAGTAGTAGTACAGGCTGTTCTACAACCATTGTTACTGAAGCTGATGCTATTTTGAAAATGTGTCAGCGTTTATTTCCTCTGTTCCCTCTTCCATGGATGTCATCTGCAAATTACATGCATGCAGGGACCTCAAGTAAACCTAGACTCGTTGCAGCGAGTGCCTATGCTAGAGATCTATGATGATGTCATCCCAGCATAGGCTCTCTTACATCTTGATGTGGGTAGTATGCACTGAATGTTATGAACTACACATGCACTAGTAACTTAACTGGGAAATGCATCGTGCGTACCAGAATGTTTTGGGATGAGGTCAGCTTGCAATGCTGACTTCTGCTCTAATAAGGTAGCCAACTGGGGGAAGCATTGAAGTGAATGGCAGCCTGCACATGCAACATTTAGGTCAATGTGTGTCAACATGGTACATGCAAAATCGTGCATTTGGCTGTTTGGTTCAACTTACCTTTTCAAGCCCAATGATTGTTAGGTGCTTGGAAGGTGCGTAATAAACCCGCCAAGCTCCCTCTTTTATAAATGCAAACACCTGCGCCACAGATTAACCCCCAAACAAAGGTATGAACTGCTGCTGTGCACTAGTGAAAAACACCAGTTAATATAAGCCAAAATAAAAAGCACAAAACAATACCCAAAACAAATTAATTTACACAATAATAAATGTTAAATTATAAAACGCAAAAAAAAAAAAAAAATAAGATTATTAGTGTCCAAAAAAAAATGTATTTAAATAAAACATGTCCTTTTTCCCACATTCCAGAGTGCTTCAACAGAAAAATATTCCTCCTATAATATGTGCTTCCACCATCCACCAGTGCGATAACCAACATAAACCGCACTCACCAGATGTTTTTTGAATAGTAGGCCTTTTAGGGATCCTACACCCCCTCTACAGCCTCCAGACCTCAATTCCACCATACAGGGCTTGGATGATCCTTCCACTCACTTCCTGATACAGCCTTCCAAACCAGCTCCACAGTTGTGCAAAGGAAAAAAGTGTATATAGTATAATGCTAATGACCACATAACATTAGCTAATAATATCAGGCCACTCACATTTCAAAAGTTCCATAAAAGGATTATTAGCCTCCACCGGCCAAACAAAATAAGCATGACATCCAGGGACAGCTCCAGAAACCTCACAGCTTGAATTGCAGAGGATGACAGTATGTACATCAACCAGATCTAAAAATGGCTGCTTGGAACGCACAACTCGGCGTGCGTTCCACTCATCGGAAGTTTCGCAAGACGTTCAGATGGCACACCGGAAGTGCGTCGACGCATTTCGCTCCTCCTACTGGGCGTTCTGAAGACTTGACTTGACATGACAAGACTTGACTGGACAAGACTTGAGAACGCCCAGTAGGAGGGGCGAAACGCGTCAACGCACTTCCGGTCTGCCGTCTGAACGTCTTGCGCAACGTCCGGTGAGTGGAACGCACGCCGAGCGGTGCGTTCCAAGCGGCCATTTTTAGATCTGGTTGATGTACGTACTGTCATCCTCTGCAATTCAAGCTGTGAGGTTTCTGGAGCTGTCCCTGGATGTCATGCTTATTTTGTTTGGCCGGTGGAGGCTAATAATGCTTTTATGGAACTTTTGAAATGTGAGTGGCCTGATATTATTAACTAATGTTATGTGGTCATTAGCAATATTAAACTATATACACTTTTTTTTCCTTTGCACAACTGTGGAGCTGCTTTGGAAGGCTGTATCAGGAAGTGAGTGGAAGGATCATCCAAGCCCTGTATGGTGGAATTGAGGTCTGGAGGCTGTAGAGGGGGTATAGGATCCCTAAAAGTCCTACTATTCACCAACATCTGGTGAGTGCGGTTTATGTTGGTTACAGCACTGGTGGATGGTGGAAGCACATATTATAGGAGGAGAATATTTTTCTGTTGAAGCACTCTGCAATGTGGGGAAAAAGGACTTCATGCAAAATAAAAAAAAAGCTCCCTCTTTTTGGCACTCATGAAAACAAGGCCTTCATTTAATTCTTATCTAGGTTACATGAAGACATGTGGTAACTTATATTTTCTCATTTGCTAGTTATTTCAACCTTTTTTTTCCTCAGTTTTTACACTTCACACCTGTAACTGTAGTCAGATTTGATGGATAAATTAGCTATATGATATACCTAGTGTGCTATCAACAACAGAGCCATTCCCCAGCAGTAGCTCCACTGCTTTGCTTAGTATTCTTATCACAGTTGGAGGAGTTTCCTTGTATTTTCTTTGAAATGAATGCTTTCCTACTTGACTAATAAAATTTATGTTTGCAGCTAGGGGGAACAGTGGGAGATATTGAGAGCATGCCATTTGTGGAAGCTTTTCGCCAATTTCAGTTTAAAGCTAAAAGAGAGAATTTCTGCAACATACATGTCAGTCTTGTACCTCAGGTAAGAATGTATGGCTAATGAGGGATAAATGTATTCCCTAGTCAGGATGTTTGTTTTATAGCCTGTTGCATGAGCTTCTGTCCGCACACAATTCTGCCTTTCTTTTCAGGTTATCCTTTTTACTGATTCTTTTTTTGTGCATAAAAATAAAATGGTCCATTTTTTGTGTAGGCTGTTGATTAATTTTCTAATGTGAAAGAATATTTTGTGTCATAAATGTCATGATCAACATGAAGCATAACCAGTTGTGTGGGTTTTTTTTTTTTTTTTTTTCTTCCTCGTCTGACATTTTATGTGATTGTAGAAAATTGCAGATCACCAACTATAGAAGTACAACATTTTTGCATTAAAGCATGCCTAAACCCCAAAACAAAAATGTAATATATTACAGTTTAGCAGTCCTAAGATGTGGTGGCTGCGTTAGCTGTCTTTTTTGCTCAGGCATTTTTTTTTTTTTTTCCTGGTGATTCTGATGGTAATACACTCCTACGATGACAATGCTCACTTTCCATACTGTGTCAGGACAACAGAAATGAGATAGGGCTACAGAACCTCACCCCTCTACTGTAGCCAGTAATGTAGATGGACATAGTTCTGTAGTCCTCAAAGCTAACTAAGAACAATATCAATGAAAACAGCACAGGCAGAAAGCAGAGAAAGCTATCTGCTCACAAGATCAACAGGATTTTTTTTTTTGTAACTTTCAAGCACAAATGCTTTCAATGGTATATTTAAAGTGGTAATAAACCCAAAGACAAACATTTGATATACTGCAACTTAACAATTCTTAGCTGGCATGGCTTCATTAGTTTCTTTTTTTTTTTTTTTTTTTAGGATTTTTATCTTTTTCCCCTGTTGATCTGGCCAGTAAGTTTGTTATTTTTCAACTTCCTTTTAACCACTTGCCTGCAGGGAACTTATATCCCCTTCCTGCCCAGGCCAATTTTCAGCTTTCAGTGCTGTCAAACTTTGAAGGACAGTTGCGAGGTCATACAACATTGTACCCATATGAAATTTTTATCATTTTATTGAGACAGAGCTTTCTTTTGGTGGTATTTAATCACCTCTAGGTTTTTTTTTTTTTTTTTTGGTAAATAAACCAAAAAAAGTGAAAATTTACAAAAAAAAAAAAATTTTTTCTTAGTTTCGGTTATAAAATTTTGTAAATAAGTTATTTTTCTCCTTCACTGATGTGCGCTAATGAGGCTGCACTTATGGGCACTGATGAGGAGGCACTGGTAGGTGGCACTGATGGGCATTGACAGGCAGCACTCATATATGGCACTGTTAGACGGCACTGACTGGCACTGGATGGTGGCACTGATATGCGGCACTGACTGGCACTGACTGGCACTGATAGGTGGCACTGAAAGGCAGTTCAGATGGGCATTGATGTGTACTGGTAGGCACTGATATGTGGCATTGATGGGCCCTGGCAGGTGGCACTGATGGGGCTACACTTATCATCAGGGCACACTGATCATCAGTGTCCTGATGATCAGTGTAGATGTCCCCTCTGAGGAATGCCGATTACCAGCTCTTCTCTCCTCACAAGCTGTCAGCGTGACAGCTTGTGAGGAGAGGAATGCCTATAACCGGCATTTCCTTATTTACATGCGATCAGCTGTGATTGAACACAGCTGATCACATGACAGAGCCAACGTCATCGGCTCTTTCCACGGTGATCCACTGTTTCCCAGGGACACAGCGTACCACCGGGGGGCGTGCAGACGCGGTTAGAGTGAGAGGATGTCATATGACGTCCTCCCAGAACGAGGGAACCGCCTTGCGCCCGTCATTTCTTTATATGGGGGGGTGGGAGGCGGTTAACAGACTAAGCTGTCCAGCAAAGGTGTTAAAACAAATCATTTAACTCTGACAGAGGTGCTCACAATGACCATCTTTTATTCCTTTATGTAAAACCTTTTTCTCAAAAGGAAACTTGTTTCTGTAATTGCATAAAAGGTGTTTGCTTGAGTTTGACTTTAATTTGTTAGTCAAGTCAAACCAAAACAGTCACCCGGCTACTATCCTTCCCACAGGGTGGCAATGTTGCTGTCTAAAGGTGTCTCTGTTGCTCCTCCAGTGGACTAGAGTCACCCTGAGAAAGAAGTGTGTTACTGGCATATCACTAGGTGAAAGTAATAGAATAAAGCCTAAAAAAAAATAACAACTGCATCCACCACATCTAAGGACAGGTAAGCTGCAGTATATTATGTTTTTGTTGTTTTGTTTTGGGGTTTTATAGCACTGTAAAAAATGAAATGGACCAGATAAGAGAAGTTCATTGTTAGGATTTAGACATGCTTCAAAGAACTATCATTTTTTTCATTGTTCTGCCCCCATTGGACTAAGTACTTTGTTCCATGTTCCCAGATGCTTCCTACGTCTAATTATGAGGTCAGACCTGCCCCATTCCCATCCACTGTGACCGACCCAATAATAGCTAGGATAAGACAGATGCATCACAACAGCAGCTTTTGCTTTGGCTCAGAGATCTTCCCAGAGACAAGAGCAATGCAGAGGGAGAGGAGGAGTGTCAGCCTCCCGTGTCTTTACAGGTCTCTTGCTCAGGGCTTTTTACTCTGAATAGGTGCTTCTCTAAACCCCCCCCCCCCCTTCTCTACCCACCTTCCAGTACCACCCTTTTTAGAGAAAGTAAAACCAAATCTACTTTCATGGTATTTAGCAATTTGTATGGTATTTGTTAAAAAAGACAAAAAATCAGTAAAATACATCCCCTGCAGCCAACAATAGATCCCCCAGCAACAATATATCTACCCCAGGAACAATAGACCCCTGGCAGCAACAAAAGAGCTCTTATTAACCAGCATTAACAGATCCTTAATCAGCCAGCAACAGTAGACCCTTACCTCACAGTTCCCTCCCCCCTTCTCCATCCCAATGGCAATAGATCCTCCAACAGCCAGCATCAATGGACCCTCCAGGATATACCCCTGGACCTCTTTCCCTTCCATTGCATTTAGTGCAGTAGGTGCTGGAACTGCTCTTGTCACAGCTTGCCAGTGCTCAGAGCCGAGTCAAGCAGTCATTCTGATGGATCTCCCTTCTTCCTAGCTGCTGCTGTTGGATTTGTCTCAAGGGGAGAGGGCAAGGTCATACCTCATAACTAGACTTAGAAAGCACCTAGCTTCATGGGACAAATAACTACATGTACTCTGTTTCATAGCAGCAGAACAATATAAAAAAAAAAAGTAATAATTCTTTAATGATGCTCATTGTTTATAAATTAGGCCATTTTTTAACTACTGTGCAGAACATTTAGCTAGCTATCTTGCATTCTAAGTGAATAATTCCTATTATGTTTTGCAGCCCAGTTCTACTGGAGAGCAGAAAACAAAGCCCACTCAGAACAGTGTCAGGGAGCTTCGAGGATTGGGTCTCTCTCCAGATCTAGTATGTGGTAACATTTACCATTTTGGCTTATGTTTTCCTCCTCTTATGAAAGAAGTAAATTTTAAGTTGCTTTTCTTTTTTTGCTAATCCTTCCTGCAGGTTGTGTGTCGGTGCACTACACCTTTGGATACCTCTGTAAAGGAGAAAATATCCATGTTTTGCCATGTGGAACCACAGCAGGTTAGTTTTACAAATGTATTGACGCATCCGTGTAAAATCAAACTTCTGTATACATGATGCCATTACCAGTAAAAAGAACTCCATACCTGCCATTTTTTATAAATGTCTAAATGGAATCAAGTAAATACTTGTAAAGCATCACCAATGACATTTTTAGGTACCGTAGTTTGACGTTTCCATAGGCATACACAATTTTAAAGAGTGACATGTTGGGTATTTAATTTAGTCATCGTTGTCATCATATTTTACCAAAAACTGTGAATTATATTGTGTTTGCTTCACTAAAATTCATTAAAGTGTGTTTCTTCCTGAAAATTTGTGTTTTGAAAAATGGCTGTGCAAATATCGTGCGACATAAAACATCACAATGACGACCATTTTATTCTCCAAGGTCTCTGATTTAAAAAATATATAATATTTGGGGGTTCTAAGTACATTTTTAGTCATGTAGCATTGCTTGTTTTGGCACGACTGTAGTGCATTTCTGCACATTTTGGAAATGCACAAATGTGAATGAAACCGAATTGTTTGTTATCCCAATTGCGCAGCGCATTCAAGTGAATGGGGTGCCCTATGTGCATTTACAAATGAAAATGCGCAAAAAAGTAAGCAAAAACGCACATATCTGCTACACTCAGTTGTGAATGGAATGTGCTTGGAAGGAGAATTTTAGTTAGCAAGGATGACCAGGATGGAGAGGTGAGGGTTAAAGGGGAAAAAAAAAAAACACTAATCCTTCAGTCATATGGAAGTTGCATAGCTTCTTATCTAAGCTGATTCAACTTCTGAGATAACATAGAAGTCTATGGGCTGAAATTGCACTGTTAGTGCAGTTTCCCAAAGTCCCATTGAAAATAATGTAATGTACCTTGTCATAAAGTAGCGGAAAAAACTCACTGGATCGTATAAATGCACTGGAATGTATCAAACGTGCATGTAAATGCACATGCAGGAACACATTTGAACTGCGTTTTTTTTTTTTTTTTGTGTTGTGAACTAGCCAAAAGGAAGAAATACAAAAATAACAGGATACTTTTTAATACAAGTACATGGTTCAACAGGCACATAACAGGAACATGAAATGTTGGGGCAACATACACTTTTATGTGCCACAAATATTCATGTATGCGGCCCCAATTGTAGATTGATCCTTTACTTTCTGGTGGGTTCCCATCCCAATAGCCTGGGGCTGTGGTCTAACTTCCACACCTGACTACCATTGTGGAGGTGTTTCCCATGCACCCTACACCTTCAGTCAGGTTGACTTCCTGGGATTGAACCTTTTGTGTTCTTGAATGTAGTCTCGAGTCACTGAGCATGCCCTGCAAGGGGGGGGGGGGGGGGGGGGGCAAACTGTTATGCTATTACTAAGCTTGCTATACCTTGCTTGGTGAATTTGTTGTCTGGCTTGGCAACCCCTCTTTTCTTTCATGGCTTAAATCTATAGGTTAGGGGTGCAAGGTCTAGAGCAGGGGTGGGCAAACTTTTTTGACTTGAGGGCTGCAATGGGGTTTATATATTGGACCCGGGGGCCGGACCAAGAGTAGATTGAATGATTGTATGTGTCATCCATAGTAAGTGTCCCCCATTGTAAGCATAGTAATTCATCCCCCATATAGTAATTCATCCCCCATTATAGTAATTCATCCCCCATATAGTAATTCATTCCCCATATTAAGTCCCCAAGTCCCCCTTGTGTCAATTCACTTACCTTTGCTCCGCACGTTCCTCTCGCCGTGTTCCCGCGCCGTTCCGGTGTAGCATGAAAATCTGTCTCCTATGAGGATCTGTCCCCTCGACGTATCTGCGCATGTGCCAGTTTCAGGCATTAGCAGCCGATCGGCGATCTCCGACACATGCGCAGATACGTCGAGGGGGACAGATCCTCATAGGAGACAGATTTTCATGCTACACCGGTCTTCAGGGCGGACTGTGAGAGGAGCCTAGCGGGAGCTTAGCTCCGCGGGCCGGATTAAAAGGTCCGCCGGGCCGTAGTTTGCCCATTGCTGGTCTAGAGCCTCAGTATGTAGACCAGCTGGTATCTCATGTTTGGGCATGTTGTTTTTTTTTCGTGCTGGCCCCCCTGGGGACTTGCACCTCTGGGGGTTGTCACCAGTTTTTTGTGTTGTTCAAATCAGGTTACGGGTCTTTTTGTTCTGCTGGGTTCTGGTTGTCCAGATTTTTGCCTAGTCAGATTGGAGCTCCCTTCATTTGGATTCTTTCTCCCTCTGACATTGAACTTCTGTATCCTGGCCTTAGGCATCAGGTTGACTTTGTCTTCTCCTTGGTTGTGTGGACAGTACCCCTTATCTAGTCGTGTACTTGACCTAACCTCTGTTCAGATTTGGGTGTTGATCCTTCATGTGACCACCCCCTCCAGTCTTCTTCGTGGGGGTCTGTTAGATGTTGCAGTTTTTGCCCGCCCCTTTGCTGGACTACTTTTGGATGGCCTGACTGTTTCTGAATCCCTGTGTCCTCAATGGATGAGAAATACAAAACGCTTTTTCTATACTTACAGTAAAATAAATTTTTCGAGTCTATTGAAGAGGAGGCTGCCGTCCACATCAGAATTGACACTGACAAACAGAAACCCCTTATAACACACCCCCACCACCCCCCCCCCACCCAGGATGTTTCAGTGTTTTGGTAAAATGGTACCAAGAGCACAAACACAAAGGGGAGGTGACCTGTATTCCTTTAATGGATTCTAGATAAATGTTATATTGCTAGTTTTATATGTTTGTGCATTTAAAATATTTCATATCTGAAGTCTCTGCTCTATGGTGGAGTAAAAATCATTCAGAATATCACACCTTTTTTTTTCCAGGTGATCTGTGTACATGATGTGTCATCGATATACAGAGTCCCTCTCTTACTAGAGGAGCAGGGGGTGGTTGACTATTTTCGCCAACGTTTGGATCTTCCAATCGGTCGTCAGCCCCGCAGAATGCTAATGAAGTGGAAAGAAATGGCAGACAGGTGATCAAACACCAGCTTGTATTATAACTGTTCAAGTGTATTCACTGGAAACCATTATGCAGCATAGCTTAGAACAGACTTTGGAAAGAAACATAATCACGAAAGACAGTACCCACAAAAGAAGGCTTGAGTGGAACCACAGCATGACTGTTCAGAAGTCTGGTACTTTCAATGATAGGAAGTGTTTTTTAGCATATAATGTTTTCAAAGAAACTAAAGTGCTATATATATATATATATATATATATATATATGTCATACTTCCAACTTCCCAAAAAGGAATTTTTATAACCTACATGCTTTCATTTATTATTATTTGTTTTTTGTTTTTTTAATCTAGATATGACCGCTTACTGGAATCTTGTAGCATTGCTCTTGTGGGAAAGTATACAAAATTTTCAGACTCCTATGCATCAGTTATCAAAGCATTAGAGCATTCTGCACTAGCTATAAACCACCGATTAGAGATCAAGGTAAGTGGTCGTCTGTTGTTAGTAAAATGTAGTAGTTCTGTTGCTTACATACTGTACGTTTTATTATTTTCTATCTAAATTTTCCATGTATTGGAGATTAGAAACCAAATGTAAACATAACTAAAAATGGATCTCAGTCAAAAGTCTAAATTTACTAATGTTTATAGTTTTACCTGTCAAAAAATTTGTTCTGGGTTATGATTAAGGGGGGATATGGTCAACATGTATAAATAAATCAGTGGTTCATATAGTGAACTCTGTGTAGAGCTATTCACGCTTAGGTCAACACAGAGGACAAGGGGGCACGCTTTACATATGGAGGAAAAGTTAATTTAATCACCAAACACGGAGGCTACTTCACAGTGAGAGCTGTGAAAATGTGGAATAGACTCCTCAAGAGTTGGTTCTGGCCAGCTCAGTGGATTGCTTCAAAAAAGTCCTGGATTCTTTCTTGGATACACAGAATATAACTGGATACTAACATTTATAGGTAAAGCTGATCCAGGAAATATCCGATTGCCTCTCGGGGGATCAGGAAGGAATTTTTTTTTTTCCAGCAGGTGCAAATTGGATCATGCTTTGCTGGGGGTTTTTTTGCCTTCCTCTGGATCAACTGTGGGTATAGGATTATAACTTTTTTTTTTTTTTTTTTTTTCTATGGTTGAACTGCATGGACTTTTGTCTTTTTTCAGCCAGGCTATATGTCCTCTTTAGCCAGGGAAATCCCTCTCCTACTTCTAGTTTGGTTCTACTGCTTCTGGAGCATCTTTTTCTCATAGGACAAGGGAGTGATGATGCTAATTTATGGTTTTCATCCATGTGTTTGAACTTAATTTCTCTGAATGTGTCTGTATACCTCCTGCTTTTGGTTAACGTTTCAGGGTAAGATGAACTGTTTTTCAGTTGTAGCCTTCCCCTAATTTTTAAAGTGAGCATGCTTATATGGACTGCATTTTATTATTAGAACAGCTTCTTGGGATGCTCGCAAATCAGCTGTTTTGTTGCATTTCTGGACTTGCTGAAATTGTACATGAGGTCCAAACTTCTGAGTTTATATGTTGTTACCCAGAGATTGTGTGACTAAATAGCCACTCTTGTGCCAATTTGTTCATCCCATCCTTTTTCAAAGTATAGATAGTTAGATGTACTCAAAATGTCTAATACCTGATTTGTTCAGCATACCCATAGATAGGTTGATTATTTATTATATTGTATAATGTTCTAACATTTGTCTGCTGTCCAAAAGTAATTTTCATCAATATAATTTGTTGGCTGTGTTTTTTTTGCACAAAACTTTGTGTTTTTGACTTGAATACATATCTTTTGACAGTATATAGACTCTGCTGATTTGGAGCCAAACACTCTTCAGGAGGAGCCTGTGCGCTATCATGAAGCATGGCAAAAGCTTTGCAGCTCAGAGTAAGTAAAATGCAGAAAGTGCTCCATCATGAAGACTATTCTTTCATAAAGCTAGGCCCATTAAGTTATGGAAACTGGTTTGCACTTAAAGTGCACCTGTGCAACGAGACACTTTATCTGTTCTATATGAAGACAGGAAGCAGCTGGTGCAGTACCGAGACTATCACGACTATCACTTTATATAGCGCAGACTACTACAATGATTCTTCGTAACCCCACTGGATCTCTGGATAGCAGATGTCAATGCAAGCTGGACCAATATAAGTGCAAAAATTACAGTTCCAAAAGTTCCGCTTTAATGCGCTTAGTCTGGACAGAGAATCATGTTAATATTTCTGCCAAAACTTTTCCTAATGTTAGATAAATGATTTTTGGTGGCGGAAGGGCTAAATGCCCAAATTATTTTTAGATATTGGACAGTTTTACTAAATTATTTTATGTTTTTAAATAGTAATCGTAAAAGCTTATAAACATGATTGCTAATTTATTTTTCTTAACTATAACTTTCAACTAACGCAGCATTTCAGCTCCCCCTCCCCTTTTAAACGGGCCCCAGGTGTTTTATGTCTTCATATATGCACCACATATTTGAACGTTATGACAGCCATACCTTTGAAACCCTCTAGTGCTGAGCTTCTTCCGGCAGTCTTCCTTGCAGGTTTGCACTCTGACTGCTTGAATGGCTGGGCTGTGATGTCACTCCTGCGCATCCACACAGGAGTCTCCATCATGGCATGGCATTCTTTACAATCATGGCACAGGCAGTGTGCGTATGTCACTGTTGGGGGACACCAGGCATAGATCTGTTGGCATCCCACAACAAAAGGGTGGGTAGGTTTGTGGCCGGTGTCAGAGTTCCAAAAGTCTTAGCAGTGGATGCACTGATGACCCTGAGGGATTGGTTCCATCTTATATACTCCTTCCCCCACTACAGATTCCTTTTTAGCTGCTAATCAGGATCAAGAGGGAGGGAATTCCAGTGATCTTAGTGGCACCAAACTGAACCAAAAAGACTTTCTACTCAGTCTGTGACTTTTGGGAAACACTCCATGGACACATCCGGACTGACCCAACCTGCTGTTTTAAGGGTTGCTTTACCATTCTGCTTCACGGTAGCTGGCTTTGATGGCTTTGTTATTGAAGTCCCTGAAAAGATCAGGGTGTTTCTGATTCCATTATTCTTTCACTGCTCAAAGCTTGGAAATTTTGCACTCAGGTGTTTGCAATCTGTTGCACTTGGATGGCTTACTTTGAAAACTGTTGTAGAATAGACCTAAAAGTCTCTTAAGTAACAAGAAATGTGTTTACTGTAGTACAGCTGGAGGCATGCACATGACATATCATACGGCAAAGTCTGCACAGATTCAAATACATGAATAGTCTACATACAAAAACGTTACCACTATATCCTGATTGGGCACCAAAATATTTATCTAACATTTATTATTTGCTGATAGAATTGTATGTCACCTGAATATAGTAGCAAATTTACCTAATGAGGGTACAGAAATTATTCTTTTCAAGAAGTAGTTAGGTGGTTATTCCCATTTTCCCAAGGTTCTCCTCTAGAGATGATTACTATGATGGGGCTTCTCAGACAGTATTGAAGGTGTGCAAAATCACTTGATTTTGTGCGCATTTACAAATCACACAAAAACGCATGTTGTGCTTGCTGTTCCATCTATTTTCTATTACTAAAGCACACTAAGTAATGCACAAAGCTTAAAAAAGTACAGTACGTGAGCTGCTTTTCTGCATATTGCTGCCCATTGAAATGAACAGGCTGCTCTATACCTATAGCATGACAACATGAGTATGCAGGATGCCTGAAGTTGCACACCACGGGGAGCACATTTGAGATATCCTGGCCTTACTCATAAAGTAGTCTTTCTTCTGGCTATCATGTCAGTGAGATTGGTTTCAGAACTGGCAGCCTTATCTTTTATATTCTGTGTATCTACGAAAGAATCCAGGCCTTTTTTTTAAAGCGATCCACTGAGCTGGCCAGAACCAACTCTTGAGGGAGTCTCTTCCACATGTTCACAGCTCTCACTGTGAAGAAACCTTTCTATGTTTGGAGATTAAATTTCTTTTCCTCCAGACGTAAAGTGTGCCCCCTTGTCCTCTGTGATGACCTCAAGGTGAATAGCTCTACACCGAGTTCACTATATGAACCACTGCTGTATTTATACATGTTGATCATATCCCCCTTAATCTCCTCTTTTCAAAAGAGAATAAATTCAGTTCCTCTAATCTTTCCTCATAGCTGATCTCCTCCATGCCTTGTATCAGTTTGGCTGCCCTTCTCTGTACTTTCTCAAGTTCCCCAATGTTCTTTTTGTGAAACTGCATATTCCAGATGAGGTCTTACTAATTATTTGTACAGGGGTAATATGATATCTCTCTCTCTCTGGAGTCTATACCTCTTTTAATACAAGAGAGGATTTTGCTCGCTTTAGAAACCGCAGCTTGGCATTGCATGCTATTATTAAGCTTGTGGTCTACCAAAACTCCCAGATCCTTCTCCAACATTGATTTCCCCAGTTGTACCCCCCCTAGTATGTATGATGCATGCATATTCTGAGCCCCCAAGTGCATAACCTTACATTTATCAACATTAAACCTCATTTGCCACATAGTTGCCCAATTAAAGAGTGAACTGAGGTCGGCTTGTAAGTTGGAGACATCCTGTAAGGACGTTATTCCACAGCACAGCTTGGTGTCATCTGCAAAGACTGAAATGGGATTTTTAAGCCCAGGCCCTATATTGTTTATAAATCTATTAAAAAGTAAGGGTCCCAACACTGAACCCTGGGGTACACCACTGGTGACCCTAGACCATTCAGAGTATGAATCATTAACCACTACTCTTTGAATACGATCTTTAGACAGTTTTCTATCCATTTACATACCAATTTTTTCAAGCTCGTAGACTTTACCTTACACAATAGCCGTGTGTGGGGAACTGTGTCAAACGCTTTTGCAAAATCCAAGTATACCATGTCCACCACCACCCCTCTGTCCAAGGTTTTGCTCACCTCCTCATAAAAAGAAATCAGATTTGTTTGACAACTTCTGTCTTTCATGAATCCATGCTGTCTGTTGCTTAAAATATTTGTTTCCAGCAAGGACTCATCTATGTGGCCTTTTATTAAACTCTCCAGTATCTTCCCAACTATAGAAGTTAAACTAACAGGTCTATAATTACTTGGTAAATATTTTGACCCCTTTTTTAAATATTGGCACCACATTGGCCTTACGCCAATCCATTTTCGTGCCGCCTTTGTCCAAGAGAAAGAAGGGAGGAATAAAAAGGGACGAGGCAGTACAGATAGACCACAGTAGCCATGCACCACTAAATTCCCAATATACACCATGGGATATGAAAATCTTAAACTGTAAGACCCTGTGCCTCCACCCAGCAAGCCCTGATTTTGTCAAAGTTTGCTGGACAATTTCTGCTAATGTAAGTTAGCTTAGGGGTAGAGCCCCATTAATCGCCACCTTCCAGCCGGAGAGTGCAGGTAGAGTAGGTGATTTCCATCTAAACAATATTTCCCTTCTAGCATAATAGGTGGAAAAAAAAGACAACATTTTTAACAGAGCCCATAAAACAGGATCTGGCATAGTAAACAGGTGGGGGAGAGTAGGATTGCCCCAGAGCGGAGTGTAGGGGGAGTAGTTACTGTTTATACCATATTGAACCCTGGCCTGCCTCCACAGCACTATAACTAAGATAGCCGCCCAGTAGTACAGTAGGAGGTTTGACAACGCCAGACCACCGCGGTTGAACGGCAGACATAGGGTTGATTGTGAGAGTCTGGGTATTCCTCCCCTCCCACAGAAACGCAAAGACAATACCAGCTATGCGACGAAAGAAGAATCGGAATAGGTACAGGCGGTTGATGAAAAAAAAGTAAAGAAACTTAGGTTAAAAATCATTTTTAGGAGATTTACACAGCCAATAGTGCTAAGGGCAAGTGAGGCCCAGGCAGTACATTTAGTCTGGAGGTGCAGCACAAGAGGAAGGAAGTTATCCAGTACATATGCAATGAGGTCTCGCCGAACCTCTGAGCTCACACAGTAGAGATGAAGCCTTGCATCTTTTGGGATAGGTCACTTGGCCGAAGCCAAGGGTACAATCTTATGTTACAATCAAAAGCAAAAACCAAAAGGATGATGGAGATCCAGGGAATGGAAGCTTGATGAGTTGTCCGCCCTTAGGAAGACATAATACTGCAGCCCTTAGAGGACATGAGTCTGAGGAGGCCTGCGCAGTGGTCGATCCTAGGCCCTCAAGAAATCTTCACGGCCCAACACAGGGGAAGACAGCATGCAGACCGGGGTCATAGATCATCTTAGAGGTTGTAGGGTTTTCCACCCAGGAAGCCACTTCCTCAGGCACAGTAAAGATGCGTGTTTTTTTTTCTCCAACTTGGACTCTGAACTTTGCCGGGAACAACATGCTATAGGTAAAACCAGTAGTCAGGGAACAGCATCAACATATCATTTTTATACCAGAGTTTCCACTGTGATCTAGCCTTATGTAGTGCCAGATCGCGATCACAGTAGTTCAATAGCTTAAAGATGAAAGTGTGGGGTGGTGCACTTGCTAGGCCCCGGGTAGCAGGCATCCAATGGGCCCTCTTCAAAACAAAGAAGCCAGAGAAATTGGCCCAGGGAAGCAGGGAGCAAAAAAGTTATAATCCTATACCCACCATTGTAAATGTTAATGTCCAGTTATATTGTGTGTATCTAGGAAAGAATCCAGGCCTTTTTTTAAAGCAATCTACTGAGCTGGCCAGAACCAACTCTTGAGGAAGTCTATTCCACAGTTTCACAGCTCTTATTGTGAAGAAATGTTTCCGTATTTGGAGAATAAATCTTTTTTCCTCCAGAAGTAGAGTGCTCCCTTGTCCTCTGTGATGACCTCAGGGTGAATAGCTGTACACTGAGTTCACTATATGAAGCACTGATGTATTTATACATGTTGATCATATCCCCCCTGAACCACATTATAGCTGAATGACAGCTACAGTGCAGTTACCCAGTTCTGGGAGGGAGTCAGCCCTCCGGCGATCTCCGTGATCGCTGTGTGCTACGGACACAACTGATCATGTGATGAGGTGAAAGGCCAGTCACAGTGGCCTTTTACCATGTGATCAGCTGTGTCCAATCACACAGCAGATCACGTAGCAAATACAGTTGCCGGTTATCGGCAGCACTTTCCTCACGCTGTCACAGCGTGTGGCAAGTACTGCCAATAACCGGCAGCAGTCACAGAGCAGATCAGCACTGATGATCAGTGCCCTGCAGTGCCTCCCATCAGTGCCGCCTGTCAGTGCCGCCTGTCAGTCGTCATTGCTGCATATCATTGCAGAATCATCAGTGCCTCCTCATCAATGCCCACCAGTGCCGCCTTTCAGTGCTGCCTATCCGTGCCACCTCATCAATGCACATCAGTGAAGGGGAAAAAATTACCTGTTTGCAGAATTTTATAATAGAAACAGAGAAACTTTTTTTTTCTTAAAATTTTTTGCTCTGTTTTTTGTTTATAGTGCAAAAAATCAAAACCCAGTAGCGATTAAATGCCACCAAAAGAAAGCTCTATTTGTGAAAAAAATGATAAAAATTTCATATGGGTACAATGTTGCATGACCGTGCAATTGTCATTCAAAGTGCGCCAGCGGTGAAAGCTAAAAATTTGGCCTGTGCAAAAAGGGGGTATAAGTGCCCAGTAGGAAAGTGGTTAATCTCTTCTCAAGAGAGAATAAATTCAGTTCCTCTAATCTTTCCTCATAGCTGATCTCCTCCATGCCTCTTATCAGTTTGGTTGCCATACATTGCAGTTAAGGTGTGATCCATGGAAAAGAAGCACTGTGTTGCAGGTAGAGGAGGAAAGGCTAGCAGGCCCCACCTGCGACCCGAGAGAATTGTAAGGTTCCAGAGCCCTAGTGGAAAATTAGGTGTCCACCCCCGTAGCACCCTCTTAGCAGCATCCGCAGCAAGGATAGGTAAAGTGTTGAAGGAGAGGAGCACAGACCAGCAGGAGGATATGGAAAGCCCACAGGCCTCTTCAGTGGGCCGGTTGTATAGGCTGTGGGAATCCTGGACCCCGTTACAGGGGTCAGATACTGCCAGTGGCCCTGGAGGGTCGCGGGGTATCTGGGTGCTGGTGGGAGTTCTGGAGTATGCTCCCCGTCAATATCTGCAACACAGAGGGATGATAGGGGCAGGAGATGACAGAACGGGAGGAGGAGCCAAAGAGCCCGCAGGCCTAGTCGGCGTGGCGGCCGCAGGAGACCGGGGTTCATTGGATGGAAAATATGCTCATCTGTGGCTTTTCCCAAAGCAGAAGCCCCTCAGAAAGGCTGAGAGGTGGGGAATTGGCAGTGATACCCCTCACATGGAGCTGGTGGCAGAGCTCTATGTGGCCACTCTAGTCGCCATCTTGGATACGCCCCCACAAACACTTTTATTTTAAGGCCTCATGCACACTGGATGTTTGTTCTGCTGCTCCTAGGGGCATCTGGCATTTTTTTCCTGCCTCTATATGCCCCTGCATGTTAGCCTATGTGTCCATTAACACATAGGCTTTTAATGGCAGAAAAAAAACCACACTGCCAGCGTGTGCAGGAGCAGCTGCTGTAAATGCTTTTAGCATTTGAGCTTTAATTTGTCTCAATGGCCAGAAAAAATTATTATTCTAGCCAATTAAATTAATTGACGTCTAAGCGATTGAAACCTCTAAATGCATTATATGCATTTAAAAGCATCAAGAATTTTTTTTCTGCCAAAACATTGCTGGTAGGAGGAAGGGTGTCTAGGAGAGCTAGCAAAACATCCTATGTGGATGATGCGTAAAGTGGATGAAAACTCTCACATATAAGTGACTACCCAGAGATGTTTGATTCCTATCACCTGATGCTTGGGACATGTAGTTCCGAGCGATGGGTAAGTAGTTTTTCTCTTCCTTTAGCCCTGCTGCGGACAAGCAGCAGGCTCACCTGACAGGTGAAACAATCGGCGGCAGCGCTGCTGTCGATTGCTTCACACAGTGCCAACCTCTCTGATCCCACGGCGTGAGGTTTCCCATGCTCCGCTTGCCCATCTGCGGGCACGGCTCGCTGTCAGCTAGAGTGGATGGAGAAGTCCGCTCCCCTCCCCTACTTGTCCTGACCCGGAAGTGACGTTACAATGTCACTTCCGGGTCCCCGTTGAGAGATTGTAATGCAATCCCGGGGAATGAATGTAATATATTGCAGTGTGCACCACATTACATTCAGTGGAGCAGAGGGGAGACATGCAGGGTCTTTTAGATCTTGGATGTCTCAAAGAGAACCTGCCACCAGAAATCATCACATAGGGGACTCTGGTGGCAGGTTCTCTTTGAGACATCCAAGATCTAAAAGACCCTGCATGTCTCCCCTCTGCTCCACTGAATGTAATGTGGTGCACACTGCAATATATTACATTCATTCCCCGGGATTGCATTCCCCAAAAAAATATATTGAAGCACACGCTAGGGTGCCTACGCATGAAACCATCAATTGCGATACACATATCACTGCGCACACCAGAATGAGAGCAATAATTCTAGCGCCAGACCTCCTCTGTAACAATAACCTGGTGACTTGTAAGGAGCTTTAAAAGTGTCGACCTATAGAAAATGTGGGTACTGAAGTTCATCGCCATTTCATGAGCGCGCACAAATTTGAGGTTTTACAAGTTGGATATCTATTTACTCGGTGCAGTCTCATCTTTTATATTTTACAAAAAAAATAGGGTAATTTATTGCTTTTTTGTGCCCTAAAATTAACTTACTTGTATTTCTTGCTAAAATTTTGCAGTAATATCATGCGTCATAAAAATTAGAACTACCGTTGTTTTATTCTGTAGAGTCTCTGCTTTCAGAAAATCATATTTGGGAGTTTTTTGTAATCTTCAGGCCCAAAATTATTTTTTAACGTGTGCAAAACACACAAAAAATGGCTCTGGCAGCGAAAGGGATAAAGTATAAGCCCTGACCCACCCTTTCCTGATGAGCAGCCAATCGGTGCTCATTACACTGCAAGCTCCCTCCCCTCCCTGCTAGTCCCCGGGTGCGATGCTGGAAACAGTCAGGGAGGGGAGGAGGAGATAAACGTGTAATATTTTTACCATCGCGCCGTTTAAATCGCCACAAAGCCTCTTGTTTTTAAAAGCCCCTAAAATCTCCTCCGATTTTAAATACGGTTTTGGTTAAAAAAAAAATTTAAATTAGATTGTCATGGGGAACAAGTAGATTGGAGCCCCAATTTAGTCCCTGTGGACAAGTAGTTTTTTTAAAAATTTCCACAACCCTGTAGCCTCAGAGGATACACAGAGATGAAATAAATCATCTTACAGAAGTTGTACCTGTGTATCTGAAGCCATCTCTAGATCATTCTAAAAACACACACATCAAAAGACTTTTTTTTTTTTCTCAGCTCCATCATCAGGGGACAGGGATCCAAAGTGTCACAGTGCAGATCTTAATGAGGGAAGCACTGAACCTGGATTTTGAGTAGAGAACACGTGGAGCTAAGGCTTTGAATCACAGGCTGTGTGCTAGAGCTCCCTCCACATCAGATTTTGAGTACTGCACAGATCTGGAAGAATTCCACAAAGTACACGAAGATTCAAGTAATATACGCAGCTCTCTTATATTTAGATGATATCTGCTTATCCCGAAGTTCAGCTTTATTTGATGTTTTTTACATTGAAGAGGACAAAAAATGAATAAGACCATATTCTTAAAAAAAAAAAAAAAGTTGTTTTTATTGGCTTTCTTTATGCAAGGATGATGTCTGGCTGTGCACCTTTTTATAGCATACATTGGCATATAGATAATCATATTTTTGTGGCATCCTTAAAGTAACATTCCTGTGTTTGTATTTAGTGGTGTGCTAGTCCCTGGAGGGTTTGGTGTTCGTGGTACAGAGGGCAAGATCCAAGCCATATCCTGGGCACGCAAACAGAAAAAAAAGCCATTCTTGGGTGAGTTTGTACACATTTATTCCATTTCTAGTAGAGTTTATGCTTTTGTAGTAGAAATATACTAAGCTAGATTGTTGATAAAATCTTTTCTGGTTTGCAGGGGTCTGTCTGGGGATGCAGCTAGCAGTTATTGAATTTTCAAGAGAAGTATTAGGCTGGAAAGGTAAATCCATCATATAATTTGATAATATTTGTTCATTAAGAAACTATGTGACACACTACTCTTTAGGGGTTATTTACTAAAACTGTAAAATCTGGTGCAACTCTGAAACCAATCAGCTTCTAGGTTTTATGGCCAAAGGTTAACTCAGTGTTTCTCAACTCCAGTCCTCATGGACCCCCAACAGGTCATGTTTTCAGGATTTCCATTATTTTGCACAGGTGATTTGATCAGTTTCACTGCCTTAGTAATTACCACAGCTGTTTCATCTGAGGGAAATCCTGAAAACATGACCTGTTGGGGGTCCATGAGGACTGGAGTTGAGAAACACTGGGTTAACTGAACAAGCTGAACTTAGAAGCTGATTGGCTACCATGCACAGCTGCAGATTCCTTTTTTTTTTTTAATTTATTTTGAAGAAATAGCTTAACAACTTTCCAAGAAAATTTACAAAATGCAAATAAACTTGGCCTATCACTAGGCACTTAGTGACACTTCAGACATAGAAAGCTGAACCATTCCTAGACCACACTATTTATTCCTTACATTGTATAAATTTAACAAAAAGTAATCAAGAAAAGAAAACAACATTTAGCCCCAGTGGAATAGAAAGAAAAAAGGGATAGATAACCAACAAAGGTTCTAGAAGAGAGAGAGGGAAAAAAAAAGCCGGGGGGGGGGGGATATAGGATCACCCTCCCTGGTGATCCTATAGGACCAACGGCCATTGTGAAAGTTGCATTGCCACCTCAATTAGCTCATGTTTGGGAGGCTAAGGCTGGCCATACATTATACAATTATCTGCAGATTTTTGGTTTAGATTTACCAAAAACCATATAATAGGAGGACAAACCTAAACAACACTTTCAGTTGTATCCAATTAGGCAGGCCCTTGCACTACATAGTTGAAGGTAAATCTAAAGGAAATTGGGCAGAAAATCTGCAGATAATTGTATAATGTATGGCCAGCCTAACACGGTTTGATCCTTGTAGAATAAAATGAAAAAAAATAGGGTGTCCAACATGAGCAGTCATCTTCTCCATTTCCTGAATTTCATTAATTCGAGCAAGCCAGTGTGTTTTTGTAGGAGGTAAAGGATTCTTCCACAATGCAGGAATGCATGCTTTTGCCGCGTTGAGAAGATGTTTTAAGAGACAGGTGTGTCGTGAAGGAGAAAAGCTACAAGATTCCCTCCTAGGGATATGCCCGTTAATATGTGTATTGCCTGTTCCACCATAGTCCGGAAATCTCAGTTTGGTACATTCCCAAAAAATGAGCAGTTGCACCAGATGCTGAGTGCACCAGTTTTAGTAAATCTCCCCCTTTGTGTCATGCGATGGCACTTTAGTGTAGTAATTGGGTGCTCATTCACCAGCACATTGTGCCAATACCCCCTAAATAAAAAAAAAAAAATGTAACGGCCAAGTTCACCTTTGTTACATGTTCCAGCATCTGCCTTCTCTACCCCCGATCCACCCCTCCGTGTGACAACAGGTGGGGGGGGGGCGGAAATCATCATTCGGCTGTGTCATTTATTCACAGTTTCTGTGAATGAATGTCTACAAATAACGTCAGCCATTTCTGCTGATACCTTGTGGTTCTCAATGAACTACTAGGGCACTGTTAAGCGCTCTCCTAGTCTGTTGATCTTCTTGCTCTCAGGTAACTGGGACAGACCGCTATACTGAGAGTCTGCTGTAGCCTGAGACTGCACTCACGATCTGCTGATCAATGGTGTAATGCTCAGGCTGCTTAGAAGGAAAAATATTAAATTTACTTTTTTTTAAATTTATTTATTTTTTAACGCCTTGACTCTGACGGCACACAAATATGCGGCCTCGCAGAACTGGGCTTTTTTTCCGTGGGGCCACATATTTGCGTACCTGTTGTTGTGCTGGGAGTGCGCCGCTCGGCACGCTCCCAGCACAAAGACCGCGGTGTCACTGAGATCCCCAAGTCCTGTTCTAACGATCGGGACCCGGGACTCCCGATTCTGGGTCACGTGATCGCTGTGATAGCCTCTGATTGGCTATCAGTGATCAGTCACTGTGCAGCCCCCGGCACCCTTGTTTTTTCTCTCTCTATGCATGGAGAGGAGAGATACATTGTATCTCTCTAACTCCTGACATAGAAGGATAAAAAAAAGTTTGCTAAAAAAAAAAAAGATAAATATTAAAAAATAAAGAAAAATACCTAGTTCAAGGTTTGATCTAGTTCAGTACCAGGGTTAGTGTTTGGGTCAGGGTCAAAAATCAGGATTTTAAAAAACAAAAAATTGGTGTCAATTAGTGTTAGTGTCAGTGTGTTTTAGGTAAAAAAAAAACAAAATGCGCACTATTGTTTCTGGGCTGTTCTACGGTGCAAACAACAAATAACATGCACATATATGGTATTGTTGCGATCGTCAAGAGCTGGAGAATTTATTTTGGGTGGTTCTTTGGTGGTAGGTTATGGTCGTAAAAGAAACGTACAGCTAAATAAAAAAAAAAGATTTTTTTTTTTTTTTTTTTTACTATTTTGGGCCAGTTTTCCTTTGATAATAAAAAAAAATTAGAAGCTATCCATTACCATTTACCACCAAATGAAAGCCCAATTTGTTCTGAAAAAAGCAAGGTATAATCAAACTGGATGTAGAAAGTAGTTGTGATGATATGTACGGTTTTTCTAACACGTGTCACCGTTGCAGAATTGTGCTTAGGGATTTAAATTTTTACCCTTAGGCGTGAAGTGGTTAATCTGCAAAAAAAGTGCATTTTTTTTCATAAGATGAGCTTATCCTTTAAATTTTACCACAAACCTACGATGCAGTTCAGACCAGCTTCCTATTGCCTCATCTGTTATCAGGTAGTGTTTACATTTTATGTAGAGCTGTGCTGTAGGTTTGCCTCTAGGCTATGGAATTTAATGGGAAATCCACCTACCAGCCCAGTACGGGTAGACCGCTCTCCCACTTTTTCTTTAGGCTCCATGCACACTGGGTGTTTTGATAACTCAAGTAACGTTAGCTGTGTAAAGTCACGTTAAACATGGGAGTTTTTCAGCTTTTTTTTTTTTTTTTTTAGCATTATTAGCGTTTAGCATCGATCTTCTGTGTTTATATTTTTTAGCTTTTTTTTTTTTTTTGCCACAAAAATCCAAAAACACCGGTTTGTGGCGTTTTAGCTATTTTGCTGCGTTTTTCAGAGTTAGAGCGTTTTTACAGCTCAACTACTCTACTGAATAAAGATTTGTATCTCCTTTTGTTCTCTCCACAGATGCTAACTCTACAGAGTTTAACCCAAAAACAAGTCATCCAGTGGTAAGTGTTCACTTTGAGCAGCCATTATGATTGTTACAGTCTACTTGTAAAATGTTTAGCAATATGTCTTGCTATGAAATTTTTAGCACACATTGACCTTTTAAAGCGATTAATTAGATGTTGTCTGAATGGGCAGTAATTGACATTATCATATTTTGGCAAACCGATGACTGGGCAGAAAGACTGATATATGAAGAGATGTGAGTGGAGGTCATGTGATAAAGATTGTACATTTCTCAACATTTTAGACAGTTATACACAATTGGGCTGCATGTTCTGTTTTTTTTATTTTCTCTTTCTTTTCCTTTTAATACTTCAGTACACCTAATCGTTGCAGCACATGAAGATTTGACACTGTTTTTGAAGCCTGTGAACCAAGCGGTGCTGAAGCATATTTGCTATATTTAGTAGTGGTATTACTTGTTAATTTTGATGTATTTCAGGTGATTGACATTAAAAAAACGCTCCGCAAACGCCGGACCAACGCTTGCCAAACGCTATAGGGGCGTTTGGCAAGCGTTGGCAAAACAGCCTAGTGTGAACGAGCCCTAATCGTTGCAGGAAGATTGACACTGTTTTCTGAACATAATCCAGGTCAGATGGGGGGCACCATGAGATTGGGAAAAAGAAGAACTATATTTCATTCTCAGAATTCAGTCTTGCGTAAGTAATGATATTTGCTATCTGTGTGCCAAAAATCATTTGCTAGTGCTTTTTATTTTTTATTTATTTTTTTTTTAAAGCACTATTAAGTTATCCTAATGCTATTTCAGTTGTTACCAGCCACTGTGTAGGAGTGTAATCCATTGCCTCTCTGTCACTCTGCCTACCTCTCTGTCTTACAATATATATCTGACAGCTGTGCACATGCTAGTGACCCTCACTCTGTTCCAACCAATCAGAATTGGAGGAGTGCTTCAACTGGGCTGCAGCTGTTATAATGAACTTTTTATTTATCAACAAAAGACGCTGTATTTGTAGGGAAGTGCTGCAGCTTGTTTAACCACTAGCCTACTATGAACTTATACCCCCTTCCTGTCCAGGCCAATTTTCAGCTTTCAGCGCTGTCACACTTTGAATGATAATTGTGCGGTCATGCAATACTGTACCCATATGAAATTTTTATCATTTTTTCACACAAATAGAGCTTTTTTTTGTTGGTATTTAATCACCACTGGGTGTTTTTTTTTAACAAAAAAAAAAAGCAAAAAATTTGATTAAAAAAAAAGTTTTTCTTTGTTACTATTATACAATTTTGCAAACAGGTAATTTTTCTCCTTCACTGATGTGTGTTGATGAGGCTGCACTGATGGGCACTGATGAGGTGGCATGGATAGGCAGCATTGATGGGCGCTCATGAGGCAGCATTGATGAGCACTGATAGGTGGCACTGATGGGCGGTGCTAACTGGCAGCACTGACTGATGGCACTGACTGGCAGCAATGCTTGGAGGCACTGATGATCACAACTGCTGGGCAGCACTGATGGGTGGCACTGCTGGGCATTGGTGGGTGGCACTGTTGGGCGGCAGTGCCCTGATGATCAGTGCTGATCCTCTGTGTGACAGCTGCCGGTTATTGGCAGTACTTTCCTCACGCTGTGACAGCGTGAGGAAAGTGCTGCAGATAACTGGCAACTGTATTTACTCTGTGATCTGCTGTGTCATTGGACATGCTGCTGTGATTGGCCTTTTACCTCAACATGTGATCAGCTGTGTCTGTAGGACATAGCAATCATGGAGATAGCCGGATGCACGCCCCTGGGAAGTGCGCGGGAGGGTGTGTTCTGGGAGGACATCATATGACGCCCTCTCTGGGAGGACATCATATGACGCCCTCCCAGAACTGGGTAACCGTGCTATAGTCGTCATTCAGTTAAAGTGAATTGTGCAAATATGAAAAATGCACTAGAGAGTGTCTAGAAGAGATTTGTAAACAATGGTGTGGGGGAAGCACACTGGTTGGAGGGAGAAAATGGTAGCTGATGTGGGGGTCAATTGGGGAGGAATGGCAACTGATGGGGCACACAGCGGGGAAGGGTGGGACGATAGCTGATGTGAGTGCACAATGGACGGGGTTTGTAGCTGATCTGGAGGAGAAAAACAAGCTAAGCTACAAGCTGGAGGGTAGAGTCGCAGCTCATTTCAGATGAATTCGCAAATATGAAAAGTGTTGTGCACTGTGCAGTGGTTGGAGGTTTTTAGGGGTTGGATGATGGAAGGGGAGGGCACAGTGGGGGAAAGGAAATGGTAGCTGATTTGGGGACTTACTAGGGAAGGGGGCTGAGGATTTGTAGCTGATGTAGCTGACATAATGGGATGATTTGTAGCTGATGAGGGGGCACATTGGAGGGATATGTAACTGATGAGGGGCACTGCAGGAATCACTGGCTGACTTTAGGGAGCAGTTTCAGACCAGGGGTAGCTGTAACTGATTGGCAGAGGTGGCTGTGATTGATGTTTAGAGGGAACAGCTGTTACAGGAGGGGTCTCTGACAAATGGGCAAGAAGGACTATGACCAGGGATGACTGAGGGCTGCATGAGGGTGCTGTAACAGATAGGGGGGGACACTGTCACTGATTGACGGTTGGAAGTGTTGTGACTGTTGTTAAATTGAATAAATTAGAAAAAAATCCCCTCTTCCCGTTAATCCCCAGGTCCTAACAAATACAGATTTACAGAATTACATTTGTGTTTACTACTAAACATCAAAAAACTTGCATAGGCAAGCATATTGTCATTAAGAATGTTAACGTGCTTGTGAAGGCTCAAGTTTTTTTACCTTCATAGAATGCGCCTTTCGTGTGCAGCAGCCCCCCCCCAATACTTACCTGAGCCCAATTCTGATCCAGCAATGTGCAGGAGAGACTTGGCTCTCTCATTGGCTGAGACAGTAGTGGGAGCCATTGGCTCCCGCTGCCATCAGCCACAGCCAGTGAGCCAATGAGTAGAGAGAGGGGATGGGGCCAGGCTGTGGCTCTGTGTGTGAATGGGCATGCAGAGCAGCTGCTCGAGAGCGAGTGTGACAGCTCTGAAATCTGAAAAATGACCCAAGCAGCAGGGGGGGGGCTGAGACAGTCTGCTTTTGATGTGGTTAAGCTTTGTTTTTCATCCATGTAGGGAAATTATACGGTGGCCAAGAGTATGTAGAAGAGAGACATCGACACAGATATGAGGTAATTCACCTATAAAGTATGCTGTAATGTTTTTATTTCTTTCATATCTGTTTTTCCTGTAATCTGGCATCCTTCCTGGTCAGATTATACTGATCAGTTTTGTTTTTTTTCTTGTTTTCAGCATTACAGCATTACAGAATAGGTCTGGTGGCAAATAAATAACTATGCCTAGGTATACCATGACCTGGATAAATGGGAGCTTTTCAAAGACATTTCCTAAACTGAACTGAAGGCAAAAGTAAAAGTTAACCACGTGCCATCCTCCCTATAGCAGATTTACTGCTACTGGGGGGCGTGCACCTGCCGCCGGAGCACCGCTTCTGCTGTAATTTGACACAGAAGTCGATCAACAGGTGGCAGCCAATAGATGAGCATCGGCATCTGTTGATCGCCGAGGAGAATGATATAACACGGCTCTGCCCAGTCAGTGTCATTAGTACAGTGACAGTGTTTCTTTTTAGCACTGATCACTGTATTGGTGTCACTGGTTCCCACAGGTAATGCACTATTTGAGTTTTCTTTTTTTTGAGGTACTTTCTGTCTTTTAAGAGACAGTGGAGGGGCTCAGCACCAAAGGATCTGATAAGTTGGACTTTGGACAGTTATTTTTTGTTGCAGTGACTTTATTTATATAAACTTTTGAGCAATTTTATACCCATACATTTTTTGGAGATTGGACTTTGTTTTGGAATTTGACACCTTGTAATTATTTTAGATTTAGTACTAGGGTTTATGGTGTGAGGAAAACACATATTAGATTTTTATGTGAATCCTTTACGTCCCCACTCTGATGGATAGTTTCTCAAAAGATAAGGAACTCCTCATAGTGCTTTATTACCATAAAAATATATAAAAAATGCCACTCACATAGATACAAGGTTCCCAGAACCTATTGCAAGCATTTAAGGGAAAAACAGGGTGAACACAGATGGCGGCTCCTGCACGCAGCAGAAAAGACATCACAAGCTTCCATCCTACGCGTTACACCACGGGGCACATCTCTTCTTCAGGGATCAGAAGCCACGTGACTCGTAACATTGCTAGGCACACAGTTAACTCTTTGATTGCCCCTGGATGTTAGCCCCTTTCCAGTCAGTGTCAGTGCAGTGACAGTGTATAGTATTAGCACTGATCACTGCATTAGTGGCACTAGAGATGTCAGCTCCCACCTAGCGTCTGTTTCAGATTGCTTTCCCTCACTATCACAGTCCCACTATAAGTCTTTGATTGCTGCCATTACTAGTATACAAATTCCAGTGTATGTGTATGTATGACCAATATATGCCTATTAGGATTTTTTTTTTTTTAACCAAAAACATGTAGCTCTAAGCATTTCAAGCATTCAGACATTTTCTACATGAGGGGCGTGCCTTCACTTCCAAATTGGGGAATATCTGTCAGCTGATTGGGTGCAGAAAATGGGTGTGGTCCCAGGGGCTACAAGCAAGCGATTCTCTCCAAACCCACATCCCTGCTTTATCACTTACAAAAGGGTGTCATTGCTCCAGTTGCAGTGGCAGAATGTTTTTAGGAGCATCTAACTTTTTCATATCCCCCAGGCCAAATTGTGGCATTGGCACACTCATGGATCTGTGTTCTAAATGCCTTCATTTGAGCTTAGAAGTTACATATGAATCTGCCTGCCCTGCCATTGGGTTCCTTAACCAAGGAGACTTCCTGCCATTTAAGGAACGACACATGCATATATGTCCCTACTATTTATCCAGTGCACCAACCTTCATATATTAGCCCTGGAACCAACTTATCACTTGGAATATCTAGGTCATGTCCTAGACACCTCTCAAGCCAGAGTTTTTCTTCCGCGATAGAAACTGCTAATTAACTCTCTGTTGCCAGACTTGTACGTTCTAGTCCAGGAGTTACCCAATCCTCTGCATGAGAGCCCTAGGGCTAACTTCCTTCTAGGCAGTCCCATTACCCAGTTTCACTCTTACAAATCAGCTATATAGACAGTCTAAGATAACACCTCCACATAGAAACCACTGCTCGGTGTCTAGCCTGGGAGCTGTGGGAAGAAAAAGTGGCACCCCAATGGAAGAACCTAGGAGCAGCAGCTAAAAATACATGCATGGGATCAGAAAACCTATTAACACCCAGAAACAAGTGATAGGACCTATTAGGCAGATGCAAAATAGTCAAGGTTACCAAATGCTGACATATGTAGGTAAGGAATCATCCCCAACACTGCTCTAGGTCCCAAAGGAAGAGGAAGGGAAACCTCCCCCCATCTACCCCCCTATTTATCCCATGAAAGGGGGCTAAGCCCCTCCCAGCACCATTTGGACTGCAGATGTGAATAGACCCACGGAATACTATCCATGCCCCTAATTGTAGGGGCAAGATGGCGCCTGGGTCACATAACATGCCAACATGTGTGAAATAGTGTGCCAGTGTACTGATGTCATGCGTATCAGCACACCAATGTCATAGCCATAACATGGTGCGATGTACATGAATCCTGCCATTACAGGACATAACAAGCGACGTTGGGGAACATTGCAACTCTCCGGGAGAAATGCATAACAATGGACTAATAGACAAACAATTGTCATTATATGTAAAGGTACCTGGGCTAAAACCGGAAAACACCAATATCGCTTTGGGAAGTCATAATATAGTATTGCGAAATGTTAGACACCATTCAAAGTGTGACAGCACTGAAAGCTGAAGTTTGGCCTGGGCAGGAAGGGAGTGAAAGTGTCCAGTATTGGAGTGGTTATGCTTGCAGGCACAGTTCTTCCACCAGTTCTTTCTGTATTTTCAGTCAAACTGCAGCTAACTGGACTAGTAGAGTTTATTTCAGGATCATGCTCTTACAGAGCAGAGAGCATCAGGTGCCCTAAGCTCCACTAAACACAGCTGTCCTGGCAGCTTGTTCAGTGAAATACGCCACATGCCTTTGTTCAGTGCCTAACAGTTTTGAGAAGCTTTGCGTGTTGACAATTTTAAATCGCAAATACAGACACAGTGATTTCTAATATTATATGGGGTTTATAAATTCTTTAGCAGAACATTTTCTTTTCCTCAAATAATACAGTTTACTGTACTTCTGCCACTCACATGAGTGCTGCATGTATGGTAGACACCATAACAGGCGTGTTTCTGCTTTGCCATTTACAAAATGCATGACCCCAGGGTTCCAGCCTAGGTAAGCTCTAGCGTCTGAGGGTTTGCCAGGGTTACCCAAGTGGATGACTACTAAGGTCTGAGCATGGTCCTATGCTCCCCTATACCCAGAAGGCCCACTTCATTAGGGAATTGAGCGTGAGAGCTCAGTGGGGAGGCAGCAAAAGATGACTACACAAGTGTACCTTGCCAAGGGATGAGGGGAGAGAGACTGTCAGTGTCTTGTAATTCTGATGTCCTTCTCGACTGCATAAAACTACAAATCGAGGAAATCAGATGATTTTTGCTTTAATTAAGGAAAGTGGTCCTGATTATATTTTTTATTATTGTTATTACTATTTTGTTAATTTTTTTTTTCCCTTAATATTAAGGTAAACCCAGAGCTTAGACATGATATGGAGGCCCGAGGTCTGACATTTGTTGGACAGGATACAGAAGGAGAAAGAATGGAGATGGTAGAGTTAGAAGGTTAGTGTTTTACTAAACTTGACTACCTTATGAGTTCTTACTTTTAATGTTTTAAAATAAACTTGTCATAAAAGGAAAATAAAAGTGCTGCCCTTGCTAGAATTTTGAAAGTTCAAGTCTATTGGCAGTTATGCTGCCGCAGTCTCTAATACTTTGAGGCACAAACCTAGAACAGATACAGTTAGGTCCATATATATTTGGACACAGGCACATTTTTAGATTTTTTCAGGTATTTAACAAAATCTATTCAAGCTATAGTTATATAATGGATGTGAGCTGAAAGTGGACACTCTCCAGGAGGTAGTTGTATCATTGTCAGTCTACGATCAAGAGAAACTTCACGAGAGCAAATACAGAGGGTTCACCACAAGGTGCAAACCATTTATACGCCTGAAGAATAGAAAAGCCAGATTAGACTTTGCCAAACAACATCTAAAAAAAAGCCAGACCAGTTTTGGAAAATCATTCTTAGTACGGATGAAACTAAGATTAATCTGTACCAGAATGACAGGAAGAAAAAAGTGCGAAGAGGGCTTGCAACAGCTCATGATCCAAAGCACACAACGTCATCTGCAAATACATGGTGGAGACAGTGTGATGGCATGGGCATGCATGGCTTCCAGTGGCACTGGGTCATTGGGGTTTATTGATGATATGACAGAAGCAGTCAGATGAATTCTGCAGTGTTTTACTGTCAGCCCAGATTCATCCAAATACAGCACAGTTGATTGGTCGGCGCTTCACAGTACAGATGGACAATGATCCAAAACACACTGCAAAGCAGCCCAGGAGCTTTTGAAGGAAAAGAAGTGGAATATTCTGCAATGGCCGAGTCAGTCACCTGATCTCAACCCAATTGAGCATGCATTTCACTTACTGAAGGCAAAACTAAAGGTAGAAAGACCCACAAACAACTGAACAGCTGCAGTTAGAGCCTTGCAAAGCATTAGAAAGGAGGAAACCCAGTCTTTGGTAATGTCCATGGGTTCCAGACTTCAGGCAGTCATTGTCTGTAAAGGATTCTCAACAAAATATTAAAAATGAACGTTTTATTTATGATTACATTTATTTGTCCAATTACATTTGAGCCCCTGAAAATGGAGGGACTGTGTAAAAAATGGTTGCAGTTCCTAAAATTTGATATTTATGTTCAACCCCTGGAATTAAGCTGAAAGTCTGCACTTCCAATTCATTTAGATTGTTTGTTTGTTTCGTTTTAATTTATTCTGGTGGCATACAGAGCCAAAAGTAAGAAAATTGTGCCTGTGTCCAAATATCTATATGGACCTAACTGTATGTAGATTGGGAAAATGAAAGAATAGTCAATAGCAGCTTTGCAGGCCTGTTCTGGGTCAGTGACACAAAGTATTGATGCCAGTCAATTAGTGTTTTTTAGGACAAGAAGTCAACAATGGAAGCCTCTAGGTTTCTTTCATGAGAGGTGTCAGGGATTTCAAGAACAGATTCTATACTGGCATTACATATTGCAGAGGTGCAATATGTGGCCATCGACCTCAAACCAGGGAAGCGCATGTCTGGGGTAGACAAATCTGTTTGTGATCTGGGCTTGTTGACCTGCCATTCAGGAGATACATAAGGTGATGCTATCCCTGTAGTGCCAGCTCCTATCCCAGGTGGAGTGATACCAAGTACACTCCACCTGGGACATTTCTAGCAGCCTGTAGAACGACTCCAGCATAAGCTAGAAGAGAAATACAGGATTTTTTGTTACTCACCATAAAAGTTCATTGACGGACACAGCATCTCCCATTCTCTACCACAGGATGGAGGGGTCATCTTTGCTGCCTGTAGACCTCTCTGATTTCCGACAAGTAGTTGTAGGTGATCACGCTTTAGGCAGAGTATCCAGCCATTGTGAGACCTCCTCGGTGCAAGTGAAGAAATTAATGGACTCACCATCTTGCACCTGCAGACAAATCGGATTGAGGTTAAGCTTGGCGTGGTCAAAGAACCAGCGGAGGTTCTGTGTATCTATAGAGTAATCTGGAAAGACCATCAGCTTTGCGGTCTCGTAGTGCAGGACTTTGATCTGTCTGTTACAGAGTCCTTTCAGCAGTTGGATTCCCTTTTTGTGATCACGGATGGGCCGAGAAAAGGTGTGGTGTCATCTTCTGCTACCATTTCTAGATGGATTTGGCATGGGATTTTTGCACTTTCAGAAGTGCTGTTAGTAAATCGCAGCACATCAGTGTGAAAGCAATCTTATAGGGGGTTCAGGACAGTAAGGGCTCATTATATTTGCATTTGCAGTTTGGGGGGCAGTAAAACCCCATAGTTGAGACGTGCCTTTACTACATCCCCTCCAACCACATCAGAAGTCGCAATGGTGACTCCATCCCAGCCTGTTTGGCCTCCTTGTCACATTTTGTTTTACACTTGGACAGGAGGGGTAGTCATAGCGGCATATACAGGAACTGATCTTCTTCATTTTCCTCCTGCAACTGCTCCCTCCAGCTGGCATTCAGCAGCTGCAGGAGGAAAATGTTCATTATGCTATACAAAATAAAAAAAAGAAATCCTGAACCATTTCATTGTCTCCTGCTAACAGTTACCAAATCACATGGAGATGACCCTCTCTCTTCAAAAGGTTGGGCACCCCTAACATATTGTATTTTCGTACATTAAACAGAAATAAATCCTCTTTAATTGATTTTTGCTAGTACTTAAGGTATTTTATTGTTTATAACATAATTTCTTGTGGTTTTTCTAGATCACCCATACTTTGTTGGCATTCAGTATCATCCAGAGTTCACATCCCGTCCTATCAAACCCTCCCCTCCATATTTTGGCTTGCTGCTTGCCTCTGCAGGGAGACTAGCCCAGTATATTGAGAGGGGATGCCGCCTCTCCCCCAGGTAAATTTACTGGAGTATTTAGTTCTGTGTTGATTTACTGCTAGAATTGATGGAAAGTCGGTCCTATTAGTGTCATTAGGTCTGTAGTGTGTTTTTTGTGTGTGTTTTTTTTTTATTTTTGTTTTTTTCCCCCAGCAAGTGGCCATACTGATTTCCATAAACAAAGGAATTGTAATTGGCAGGGACTGTCAGGCTTCCTTTATTTAAATTAGGCTAGTTTTAAAGTAGCACACATAAATGTCTTTCCCTATGTTTTATGCGGTATATCTGTGCAATACATGCACATTTCCCTATCTTTTATCCATTTACAGACCTTACAGGTACAGAAATACCTTTTTATCTATCAGAAATTCACTCTGCTTCTAAGTTCTGCTTTGAGCTGACAACACACAGCCTTTTTGAGTGTTGTGACCTTGCCTAGTTTTCTCTTGCCAAACCACTTCAACCCACTTACTCTCCCATCTCCACAAGGCTAATCATTCTGTAGTCTTGAGATGCACTAGGAAGGCTAATTACTCCTCTGAGACAACACAGGAAGTAAGCACTGAACACAGGACAGCTTTGAATTTCGGACTTGATCAACAGGTATGTCTTTCTCATTCATTGAACATTGGCAAACAAGAAAACTGGAATGTGACCTTCAGGAACTGGACTCTGCGTTGTGGCAATTTCCAGACTTGCTTGTGCTCATCAGTTACCAGAGCACTTTCCAGGTTCAGAACCTAAGCAGACTCCCAGAACATGACCCTGTCTCTGAATGAACATTCTGTGTGTAGGGCATTTTGGCTGAAGCATCGGAAATACATTATGATTGCTCCTTTAGGGCACCTTTCTAATTTCTTGTCACTGCTTTGTTCACTGCTGTTAGGGTTAACACCTGGAGTATCACCACCAATTTCACCTGCTGGTTGGAGTGTCAAGCACACATCATTTTTCCTGAGCACCTCTTAAGTTAGCTGCAGAGCACTTTTCAGATCCAGAGCTATGGCACTGCCTCAGCACTTGACCGTGTCTGTGAAAGCTATTGGTGCTTGTCCTGCATAGCCTACTTAAACACTTCCTGTTCGGCCCATGTCTATAAACGGCCGGACGGGAGCACTGCAGAAGCGGGTTGACGTTTCTAAATGTCACCTGCATTCACTGCCTGTGCGTGCTCCACGGGAGCACGCGGCACTGCGATTCGGTGCCCGCTGTGTCTGGAACACTGATTGCTGTACAGGACCTATGTGTGAGGTCTTGATTCATGTGATCACTTATTGGCCAATCAGTGATCACATGAGCAGTAGTAAACAAGATGTCACTTCCTGACATCATTGCTTACTACTTGTGAAATCTGTGAATAATCAGAGGTCACATGGTACAAAATTATTCACAACAGCCTTGTACCATGTGACAAGCTGTGATCAATCACAGCTCTCACAGTATTTCTCAATGGTTGCAAGAATGCAGCCAGAGAGAAATAGAAATAATTGCTTTTACAGCCTTTTTATGGTGTAAAAGCAGTCCGTGTACAAAAAGGAAAAAAAAAATTCTTCTTCATCCCCCACAAGTAGTACAGTGTCACTATGGTGACACTGTACTGCTACGGTGACAGTATGTTAACCCCTTGACGCCGACGTAACACAAATATGCGGCATCACAGAACTGGGCTTTTTTCCGTGGGGCCACATATTTGCGTATATGTCTTTGTGCTGGGAGCGCACCTCACGGCGCGCTCCCAACACACAGACCGCAGTGTCACTGAGAGCACCGGGTCCCGTTCTAACGATCGGGACCCGGGACTCCCGATTCCGGGTCACATGATCGCTGTAATAGCCTCTGATTGGCTATCACAGTGATCAGTCACTGTACAGCCTGGCCCCCTTTGTTTTTTTTTCTCTCTCTATGAATGGAGGAGAGAGATATTGTATCTCTCTAAATCCTGGCATAGAGGGGAAAAAAAACTGTTGAATAAAAAAGATAAATATTAAAAAATAAAGACAAAATACCTAGATCAAAGTTTGATCCAGTTCAGCGCCAGGGTTAGTGTTTGGGTCAAAGGTCAGAGTCGAAGGACAGAATTAGAAAAAAAAAAAAAAATTTGGTATTCATGTCAATGTCAGTGTGTTTTAGGTAAAAAAAAAGACAAAATCAAAATGAGCACTATTGTTTCTGGGCTGTACTACGGGTACAAACAACATGTAACAAATATATGGTATCCCTGCGATTGTCAAGAGCTGGAGAATTTATTTTGGGTTGTTCTTTGGTAGGTTATGGCAGTAACAAGAAACACACAGTTAAATAAAAAAAAGATTTTTTTTTTTTTTTTTTTACTATTTTGGGCCAGTTTTCCTTTAATAATAATAATAATAATAATAAAAAAAAATAAAAAGGAGATATCATTACCATTTACCACCAAATAAAAGCACAATTTGTCCTGGGGAAAAAAAAAAGTATAATTCACCTGGATGTACAAAGTAGTTGTGATGATATGTATGGTTTTACTAACACATTTCACCGTTGAAAAATTGTGCTTAGGCATTTAGATTTGTTTTACCCTTAGGCGTGAAGGGGTTAAAAAAAACAAACTAGTAATATGAAAAAATGTAAAAAAATTTTTTAAAAAAATTATAATTTTTGGTTATAAACTAATTTGGGTTTTTTTTTTGTTATTAAAAAAGATACAGTAGCTGAATACATTTTGGCCAAGATTTATAAAGAAAAATTTATTTGCAAAATTTTATAAGAAAAACTTTTTTTTTTCTAAATTTTTGGACTTTTTCATTCATACAGCAAAAAAAATATAAATCCCAGTGGTGAATAAATACCATCAAAATAAAGTTTTATCTGTTTGAAAAAAAATGCTAAAAAATTCATATGGGTACAGTGTTGCATGACCGTGCAATTGTCATTCAAAGTGTGATAGCACTGAAAGCTGAAAATTGGCCTGGGTAGGAAGGGGGTGAAAGTGTCCAGACTTGAAATTGTTAAAGAGTGAGTCTACCTAGTTATTAAGGAGCACTGAGCCACTTTAATTCTCTTGCTTTTTGTTGGTCTTGCTGTGGAAGGGTAACACTGAGGGAATATGAGCACTGGTGTCATCTGCTTGGTGGAGCTGCCAACTGTGCTTTTTCCTGCCTTTCAGCTTTGAGGAAACAACTTTCCACTGCTACTCTTGTTTGTAAGAGACATATGAAACTTCAATTCTCAATTCATTTTTCCTGCCTGCCTTCAGTGGCCTTGGTTACCTTCTGTTGGCAGACACTTACACCTGCTACCCAAGCAACTCAGTTTGAGAGTGTTTGAGGCTTTGCCTCATACCCTGAGTTATGTTGCCTTCTGGTAACATGCCCCGTTTAGAGGGGACAATCCCACTATACCAGGTGCCTCTAGCTCACAATCCACTAACGTTTCCCATGCTGTCTTTAGCATGCCTTCTGAGGTGTCAGACTATCAGAGGCTAAAATTCTAGTCTGTTGGTGTCATTGTCTTCTGAATCTCCTAGCGTAATCAGGCATGGCCACCTCCTCAGCTGTATCCAGAGAGAATAAGTCATGCAAGATTTTATGGCCAAATGGCATTACTGACTGCAGAGACCATAAGTGCACTCCCACACCTTCCCCAGCAGAATCTCTATCTGAAGGGGTGCAGCAGGCGATGGTTTCCAGAGGTGACAAGCTGCAGTTTTGCTTCCTCTCCAGGTCGTTACTTTCAACCTGCCTGTGTCGTCGAACAGCTTAGCTCAGTGCAGCTCTATCCAACCTTCTGGAGCTGGGCATCATTGCTTTACTCCTGGTGTCAGAACTGCTTCAGGGGGTTCTACTCCAGCCTGTTCAGTGTCATCAAACCAAATGAAGAGGCATGTTCCTCACCTCCGATCTCAAGTCCTAAAGGTCTTACTTTAGGCCCAAAATGTCAGCATGGAATCTACCAGGTGTTTCTTCATGACTTCACCAGGGAAACTATGGAGATCAATGGTGCGTACTTGCTTGTCCTAATTTTTCCAATGTACCAGCCATTCTTTCGCTTTTCTGTGGTTCATTTGAACTTCTAGTTTGTGGCTCCAGGTATAAGGATCTGTAAGTGGACTGTCCCAAGGATTGATTTACCACCATGTCTCTCAGTTGTCAGCTTAAACAGCATGGCTGTTGAAGCCTAGTTTCTTGCAGACAGTGGCATCTCTGAATGTCTGATGGCCACAATACTAAAAGTGGAAGTCTACTTCTTACAAGGTCTGTCGTTTTTATGTGGAAAACATGCTTTGCTTGGTGTAGAGTGGGAGGCTTTCATTCATGGGAATTCCAGCCCCCCCCCCCCCCCCCCCCCCCCCCCCCCCCCCCCCCCCCCCCATGTGGCGCCCCCTATGTATTCTTACTGTGACTCTGTGGGATTTTAATTTGGTTCTTTTGGCACTTTAAAAACTGCTTTTTGTATCTGGGTATATTCGTCTTTCCACTCACTCACCAGGATGTTTTCCTTGTTGCCATCACCTCTGTGAGTCTGTTTTGGCAGTCTTATGTAACGAGGCCCAGGAATTACATCCTTTCAGGTAGGTTCAACTTTCACCTTAACCTGGACATTGTTCTTTTTTCCATTCCTGTTTGGCCCTAGTTCATCAGAAGGAAATCTCCCTCCATTGCCTGGATTTAGTTCTTTTCTGTGCTACCTCACCATTACTATTTCCATTAGAAAGACTGACTCAACCTGCTTGTCCTTCCATTTTTTCTCAGTGGTACAGACAGATCATCAATCAAGCTTACAATCTTAAGTTACCCCCTAGTCTTCTGTTCACATGTTCTCCCAAGTTTTACCAGCGGTTTTTCAGGCCTCATCTGATGCCAAGTTTCTGATGTAAGGACCTTCTGCAGGCAGTTTTTTTGTGGGCCTGTTAGTGCTTTTTCCGCTGCCGTCCACCCTTCAGTTGGACTGCTATTAGACTTCCCAACAGGCTCCAATTCTTGGGGTTTTCGTTCTCACAGTAAAATCCATTCCATGGAGTTCATTGAGGGAGACTGGTCCCACTCTATGATCATGCACTTGGTACTGCTTTTCCACAAAACTGAAGCTCATTTTAAGGTCATTTTCAAGGAAAAGATCTTACAAAAATTCCCAGCATGTTTGACAGCTTGACAAATGTCCTGTGAAAGTATTTCAAAATTTTGTTGGCTTTTAACCATTAGCCGCCCGGCCAATGGCCGTTTGGCGGCTTCAGATGTGCTTCTTCATTCCGGGTGCACGCCATTTGGCGTGCTCCCGCACATGCGCCGTTTGCGGTAATGCAGAGCGGCGCAGCAGCGGGATCTGTCACGGGCCGTGCACCTCGGACATGGCCGATGACAGATCCGAGTACCGGCTCCCGTTGCTGGTACCATGTGACCTGCTGTGACCAATCACAGCGGGTCACATGACAGTTGTATACAATGGATGGCTTCATTCATGATGCCATCCATTGTATACTAGTGCCTAGCTGTGAATGGTCACAGCTAATCACATGCACATGTCATGTGATTAGCTGTGACCAAATCACAGCTAAGCACAAAAAAAAAAAAAAAAGCTGAATGAATCGATTTCATTCAGGTAAATGCTTGCTTATAGCAAAGTAATTCTTTGCTATAAGCAAATTGTGTAAAAAAAAAAAAAAAAAAAAAAAAATACTGATCACTTCCCCAAAGTAGTACAGTGTTACTATGGTAACATTGTACTACTTTGGTCATAGTAAAATTTGAAAAAAAAAATCTTAAAAAAAATTAAAAAAAATGTAATAAAAAATTAAATATAATAAAAAAAAAATATATATATATATTTTTTTTCATACTGTCACCAGTCAGTGTCCCTGTTAACCGCCATGCCAGTTATATGATGACGCTGTACTGCACTGGTGACAGTATGTAAAAAAAAAAATAGTGAAAATAATTTTTTTAATTTTTTCATTTTCCGAAAAATTGACATAAAAATACAACTTCAAAAAACTCGCCATGCCTCTTATGAAGTACGTCGGACTGTCTACTTTGCAAAAAGGGGTCATTTGGGGATATTTGTACTATTCTGACATTCCTGGACCTCAAGATATTAGATTGGCTGTCAGTACTTCAGGATTGATCAATATTCAGATCTATACCATAGTTTGTGAACTCTATAACTTTCCTACAAACTAAAAAATACATCCTAATTTGGGTTATTTTCACCAAAGACATGTAGCAGAATACATCTCGGCCTAAATTTATGAAGAACAATTATTTATTTGTAAACTTTTATAACAGAAACAAAGAAAAATGTGTGTTTTTTTTCAAAATTTTTGGTCTTTTTTTTGTTAATTTAGCAAAAAATAAAAACCCCAGCGGTGATTAAATACCACCAAAAGAAAGCTCTAGTTGTGTGAAGAAAATGATAAAATTTTAGTTTGGGTACAGTGTTGTATGACCGCGCAATTGTCATTCAAAGTGTGAGAGCGCTGAAAACCTGAAAAATGGCCTGGGCAGGAAGGTGTAAAATTGCACGGTATTGAAATGGTTAACATTTGATTTTGGAACAAATTCATCCTGCTCCTTTGAATTTTCTCATCACTGAGGTCAAAAATGAACGTTAACTTATCCCCATTAATGATTAGAAAATCGAACAAATACTCTGTAGTAAAAAAAAAAAAAAAAAAAAAAAAAAAAATTCTAACAAAATACTACTGGCTTATAGCCAGCTTTAGACCTGGAAGTCGGATGGGTTGTACCAGGCTGACCAAAGATTTTTTTTGTTTGCAGTATCCAAAACCTCCTGTTAGTGGCAGTATAAGCCAACAGTTTCTGTGTTCGTTTTCCCCCCCAGTGAACATCACAAAATGCATTTTATGATGAATACAATCCCAGTCTAGTAAGTATTTGCACTTGGTTGGTTTATATATTGGGCAAAAGAACAAATAAGGGAAGTTCATTGTTATTGATCAGGAAGTCTTTTCTGTTAGCTAAGGGCTCCAGTGTACAGCCATACAGAGTAAAATCTGCTTGCTATGGTACCTAGGAGCCTTGGCTGCAGCATAATTTGGCCCACTGACATGTATTGTAAAATACGCTGCATGTAGCTATACACACGCATAGCTCCTGGAACTTACAGTTTCATGTATATGGGCATATTTTGCAATAAATGTAAATGGGCTAAATTAGGCTACAGCTGTAGCTCCTAGGCACCACCAGAAGTGGATTTTACTCTGTACGGTAATATGCTGTAATGTCTGACCGTGTACAAAAGCCCTAAAGCTGTCCATACACTATACAATCAGATTTTACAATCTCCAAACTATCTTCAGATCTACCAAAACTATGTAATATGAGGACAAACCTAAACATTTCATTCAGTTTGTATCAAATCAGGCAGGCTCTTCCACTACATAGTTGATGGTAGATCTAAAGGAGAGATTGTGCAATTAGATTGTTTAGCGTGTGGCCAGCTTAACATTCTCAGCCCTTGAGGAAACCCATGTTTGATTTAATAAGATGTTCTCATTTTATTTACAGGGATACGTACAGTGACAGAAGCGACAACAGTTCTCCTGACACAGAGATTGCAGAACTCAAACTACCAGTAATAAATCATGACTGATGCTAGGTAATAGGCACTTGTCTACCTTGTACTTTACATATGGAAAACGCACACATTAAAGATCCATATCTCATGGAAGGTTTTCCATAGTTATTTTCTTTTTTTTGCAAGAAAGAGATCTTTTGGCTTAGTGGCTCATTGTCCCCTAAAATGCTCCTATATGTTGTCTGTAATTCTGTCCCCTTTTGAAGCTCAAGGAGCGGCCAGCACAGAGCCCTCACCCCTTATCTAAACGTAGTGATTTGTCATTATTATGAATAAACAATCAATGCTGTTTGTTAGTCATAATGGTTAAAAAAAAAAAAAAATCAGAGTTTGGCTCTGTGTAAAGTGTTTACCATGTGTGTGTACAAGCAGCTGCAAATACAATATACAGATCCATAATTCTGATCGAATTATTTTTAGGCCTGTTCACATCTAGTGATTTGGGATCACAGGCGGAATCTCCACAATTCTGCCTACGATTCCAAATCTCTCTGTATTACTGGAAAAAACACACCACACATTTGTTGTCTAATATGACACACACAGATGACGAGTGTATTTTTAAATGTATTTTCCCACAGCAACAAGTCCAACAGTTCTTTTCCAGGGAGAGATTTAATGGGCTCAGAAACAGTCCATAAAACAGTGGTATAGAAAAGGCAGATGACAGGGTACTAAGAATATTCCTGCAATTATCAGACACCTTCAAAGGACCCACTTTCTCCTGTCTCAACTCAAAACTGGTCAGTCGGAAAAGGTGTATATTAGGGAAGGTTTTGACAAAGTGTCGAGCAACCTGGTTTGTTTATGTGCATGTTTGATCTGATGTGTTACAATGTGTAGTTTATATCTATGATACACACATTTTATATGCCTACAATGTTTTTGTGCCATCCATTTTTACCTAAAACACGATTCGGCTTTGCCACAATTGCTTAAAGAACGCTACAAGAGTTTTGTGTTTTGCCTGTAGAAGCAGTTCAGTGTTATCCTATGTGTCCATGCACATTAGGATGTTTAGAGGCATATTTTAAGCTCCGTGTTCACAGGCTGAAAAGAAAAACCCTTCTGGCTTGTGTTTTTGGCAGAAAAAAAAGCTAAACACTCCTAAATGCCTGTACAAAAATGTTTTATATGAACCTTTTTTTTTTTTTTTTCTGTCAGAACTGGCAATTTTTTAAGCCCAGTGTGCATGAACCCTAAATGGGCATTAAATTCCAGGAGTGTGCTGCATGCAGAGTTTAGGAGTGTGCGATGTGTAGAATGCAGAGTTCAGGAGTTGGCTATGTATAGAGTACGGGTTATAAATCCTCTTCCTTTCCCAGCCAATTCCCCCCTCCCTCCAAATAAGTAACAGTAGTGAGCTGAAAGCAAAGGGCCAGCATCGGAGGTAGCAGAACTCCATTCTGCCACATTCCAGCTGAAATAAGTCCTGCTTCTTAGTAAATTACAGCTATCTTTCACCAATGATTGTGTTCTTGATTGATGGACATATTTGACTTAAAGTAGTTTTAAAAGCTAGTGGGTTTTTACCTTCATGCATTTTATGCATGATGATAAAATACCTTCAGTGTGCTCCCTATTATGCCCTCCTATACGCTCGCCTGAGCTCCCTCTCAATCCACCAATGTGCACGATAGCCTTGGCTCGCTCCTCATTGGCTGAGTCTCAGCAGCGGAAGCTATTGGCTTGCTACTGGAGACACTGGACAAGGGGAGGGGCCAGGAGCGCTGGCGAGGGACCTGAGAAGAGGAGGATTTGGGCTGCTCTTTGCAGAACCATTGCACAGAGCAGGTAAGTATAATATGTATCCTATTTTTAAGAGAAAAAACCCCAAACCTTTAGAGTCACTTTAAATAAATGTGAGATATTTTTGGTTGAAATGTACAGGCGAAAAGGTTTGTTTAATCCAGCTGATTTTTGTCAGATCAGACAATGGCCTTTGATCAGCAGGTTTTCCCTAACCCCAGCTGGCATTTCATGGATGGACTTACCTGTAGGAAAAATAACCAACTGCATTGAAAAACAGCACCTAAGTACTGCCCTCGTACTCCATAGGCACACACATGCATTCACCCAATAGAAACGTGTATGTTTCTAAAACTAACTTTCATTGAATCAATCTGCCTCCATATACAAAAAGATGCAATAGACAGTTCGTGAGGGTAGAACAGCCCTCTTGGACAGACATCATGATTAACGCTATAAGGACAGTTTCTTTAGTTGCTGCAGAGCCAGAAAGGGTTCATTTACAGCTTTCTGGATCATTTGTTCCTCCGCATTCCCACAGAAGCCATACCTGTTCCCCACTAAGAAAAAGTAGTAGGATCAGCTTGTAATGTGTACCTTGGCACTAGACTCTGCTGCAGACTCTTGCCTTGGTATTTATTTGCAGTGTGTGAGACAGCCACACAGTTGTCTTGTCAAGGGCTGTGGTTAACCCATCTGTTGGAAACCTATCTCTGAAGACCTTTTGGTGGGGAAGGCCCATGGAGTGGTATGTTCTCTAGATCATGCCTCTTTTTATCCCATATGTGGCTATTTGAAACCACAGGTACTTTTGAGGACTTCAGGTGCAGTGAGTGGGGCTTTTTTTCCTTATTTACAGATGGCCTGCTGGTGCATATTTCCATGGTCCCCTTAAGTGATTAAATTGCCAGATGTGTGCAATGCTGGAAGCCAGTATCTTTACAAATACATTCTCTACTGGCTAAGGGCTCCAGCATCCAGCCATACAGAATAAAATGTACCTGTTGTAGTGTCCTGGGAGTCATAGCTGTAGCATAATTTAGCCCATTGACACATACACTGTGCGTGGTTATATGCACATAGCTGCTGATGCTCACAGTTTCATGCATATGGGCATATTTTGCAAAAGGCTTTATGCACACTGGATGTTTTATTTAACTCTCCTAGAAGCAGCGTTTCAGCGAAAAAAATGCCTGACGCTTGTAAAATGTGAATATGTTGGGTGTCACAACAGGTGGATTTTACTCTGTATGTATGTGTGAAAGAGCCCTAAAGCTGGCCATACACTTTTTACAATCTGATTGATCAGAGAGTGCACAATCTCCTTTAGATCTACCAAAACTACAGTGCCTTGAAAAAGTATTCATACCCCTTGAAATTTTCCACATTTTGTCATGTTACAACCAAAAACATAAATGTATTTTATTGGGATTTTATGTGATAGACCAACACAAAGTGGCACATAATTGTGAAGTGGAAAGAAAATGATAAATGGTTTTCAAATTTTTTACAAATATTTGAAAAGTGTGGTGTGCATTTGTATTCAGCCCCCCTGGGTCAGTGCTTTGTAGAACCACCTTTCACTGCAATTACAACTGCAAGTTTTTTTGGGTATGTCTCTACCAGCTTTGCACATCTAGAGAGTGACATCTTTGCCCATTCTTCTTCGTAAAATAGCTCAAGCTCTGTCAGATTGTATGCAGAGCGTCTGTGAACAGCAATTTTCAAGTCTTGCCAGAGTTTCTCATTTGGATTTAGGTCTGGATTTTGAATGAGCCATTTTAACACATTGGCTTTGATCTAAACCATTCCATTGTAGCTCTGGATGTATGTTTAGGGATGTTGTCCTGCTGGAAGGTGAACCTCTGCCCCAGTCTCAAGTCTTTTGCAGACTCTAGCAGGTTCTCTTCTAAGATTGCCCTGTATTTGGCTCTATCCATCTTCTCATCAACTCTGACCAGCTTCCCTGTCCCTGCTGAAGAAAAGCATCCCCACAACATGATGCTGCCACCACCATGTTTCACAGTGGGGATGGTATGTTCAGGGTGATGTGCAGTATTAGTTTTCTGCTACACATAGCTTTTTGCTTTTAGGCCAAAAAGTTCAATTTTGGTCTCATCTGACCAGAGCACCTTCTTCCACATGTTTGCTGTGTCCCCCCACATGGCTTCTCACAAACTGCAAACGGGACTTCTAATGGCTTTCTTCTTGCCACTCTTCCATAAAGGTCAGATTTGTGAAGTGCATGACTAATAGTTGTCCTATGGACAGATTCTCCCACCTGAGCTGTGGATCTCTGCAGCTTCTCCAGAGTTACCATGGGCCTCTTGGCTGCTTCTCTGATTAAAGCTCTCCTTGCAGTTGTGCCATATTCTTTCCATTTTCTGATGATGGATTGAACAGTACTTCATGAAATGTTCAAAGCTTTGGATATTTTTTCATAACCTAAGCCTGCTTTAAACTTATCCCTAACTTTATCCCTGACCTGCCTGGTGTGTTCCTTGGCCTTCATGATGCTGTTTGTTCACTAATATTATCCAACAAACCTCACAGAACAGCTGTATTTATACTGAGATTAAATTACACACTGGGGACTCCATAGATTTTAGTTAGGGGTATCAGAGTAAAGGGGGCTAAATATAAATGCACACCACACTTTTCTGATATTTTTGTAAAACATTTTGAAAACCATTTATCATTTTCCTTCCACTTCACAATTATGTGCCACTTTGTGTTTGTCTATCACATAAAATCTCAATAAAATACATTTATGTTTTTGGTTGTAACATGACAAATTGTGGAAAATTTCAAGGGGTATAATGAATACTGTTTCCAAGGCATTGTATGTAATATGAGGTCGAACCTAAACGTTCCATTTAGTTCAACTGAAATCAGACAGACTGTTCCACTACATAGTTGATCCAGGCAATATCAGATTGCCTCTTGGGGGATCAGGAAGGACTTCTTTTTTTTTTTACTGATAATCATCCGTGTAGCCCGATCATTGCCACATATCAGTGCCACATATCCATGCCCATCTGAGCTGCCTTTCAGTGCCAACTATCAGTGCTGCTTATCAGTGCCATATATGAGTGCCAACTATCAGTGCCTCCTCATCACTGCAGCCTCATTAACGCACATCAGTGAAGGAGAAAAATTACTTATTTACAAAATCTTATAACAGAAACTAAGTAAAAAAAAATTTTTCACAATTTTCAGTTGTATTTGGTTTGTTTAGCAAAAAATAAAAACCCTAATGGTGATTAAACACCACTAAAAGAAAGCTCTATCTGTCTCAAAAAAATTGATAAAAATGTCATATGGGTACAATGTTGCATGACCATGCAATTGTCATTCAAAGTGCAACAGAGCTGAAAGCTGAAAATTGGCCTGGGCAGGAAGGGGGTAACCGTGCCTGGTAGGGAAGTGGTTAAACATAGCACAGTTGTGCATAAAATTCATATTTCTTTAACCACTAGCCTACAGGGCACTTATACCCCCTTCCTGCCCAGGCCAATCTCCAGCTTTCAGCGCTGTCAAACTTTGACAGTTGCGCGGTCATGCAACATTGTACCCATATGAAATTTGTATCATTTTTTTAGACAGAGCTTTCTTTTGGTGGTATTTAATCACCTCTGGGATTTTAATTTTTTCTTAAACCAAAAACCACTGAAAAGTTTGAAGAAAAAAAACTTTTTTTTTTCTTAGTTTTTGTTATACAATTTTGTAAATAATTTTCTCCTTCACTGATGTGCGCTAATGAGGCTGCAGTGATGGGCCCTGATAGGCGGCGCTGATTGGCACTGATAGGCGGCACTGACTAGCACTGATGCACACTGATAGGCGACACTGACTGGCACTGATAGGTGGCACTGATTGGCAGCACTGATGGGTGACATTGAAAGGCAGCTCAGATGGGCACTGACAGGTGGCACTTCTGGGGCCACATTGATCATCAATGCCCTGTTGATCAGTGTACATGTCCCCTCCGCGGAAAGCTGATTACCGGCTCTCCTCACCTCTTGAACTGTGTCAGCGTGACAGCTCGAGAGGAGAGAAATGCTGATAACCGGCTTTTCCATGTTTACATGTGATCAGCTGTGATTGGACACAGCTGATCACATGACCGAGCCGACATCTTCGGCTCTTTCCATGATCCGCTGTGTCCGGTGAGGGACACAGGGCATCGGTGATCGCTGCGCGCTCCCTGAGCCGCACATGCGCAGTGAGAATGGTATGACGTCCTATCAGAACGAGAGAACCACCTTGCGCCCGTCGTACTATAGGGCGGGCGGAAGGTGGTTAAGGTGCCTTTAGTACAATGCATTTAAAATATGCAGACTTTGCTTCATAATTGCAGCTAATGATTTAAAATCTTCTTCCATTTTTCAGGTGACGCGTGTCCACCAGTTGAAGTAAAAGTTGTACAGTTGGTTTTTTGTTTTTCTTTTTTTTAAATTTTTTACATGGACGATGCTGGGACAGCTTATTTTGTCAATTTCTTCAAAGCTAGACATGATTCATGTTTTGTAAAATGAATGTCAATATTCTTTGCCAGTATTATTGGATTAATCTGCCTTTCCTACCATACAACTATTAGAGTTGTAGCCTTTACATATGGAATAAATAAAATATTCCATCACCATACACCAGAGTTCTGTGTCTATATTGAAAAGCAACAATCCGGTATAAACATGTAATAGTAGGTTCCAGGAAAACACAGCAGATGGGTTTTGCTCATTCATGTTACTAATAAACATGCATTGGATGTCTTCAGAGTGTTGGTATTGGATGTTTCTAGTATGGTTACTAATAGCTTGACAGATGAATACCTTTTTAATCTAAGGATTTTGAATTCACTGCAAATCTCCAAAGCTTTTTTTCTTACATCACTGTGGGCACCACCCAGGCTGTCAGTTTTTACTGTTCTATCGGATTTTATTAAGTTTGAATCGTACAAACAGCACAGATGGAATTTGCCAAGCAACAAAACATTTCAATGCGAAGTACATTCACATATGATTGTATTAAGTATCAAGTAAAATGGGGAAGATGCTGTGCACCAGATGTAAAGAGCTTGGTTATGATTTAAGACTTTAAGCGACTTAAACTAATATTTGCACACTCTTGGGTTTGGTATGCTCTGGAGGGAACACATTTGCATATTAAGTATCAATGTATTCGCATAGTGGAAGGGGGGGTACGTTTGTAGAGAGAAGTGACATGAAAAGGAGGCGAGAAAGCAGGAGGGGGGGTACATAGGCTGAAAAAAGTCCATCCAGTTCAACCATAAAAAAAAAAAAAGCTATAATCCTATACGCACAGTTGATCCAGAGGAAGGCAAGAAAAAACCCAGCAAAGCACGATCCAATTTACTCCTGCTGGGGAAAAAATTCCTTCCTAAACCCCCAAGAGGCAATCAGATATTCCCTGGATCAACTTTACCTATAAATGTTAGTATCCAGTTATATTCTGTGTATCTAAGAAAGAATCCAGGCCTTTTTTTTTTGTTAAAGCAATCCACTGAGCTAATCAAGAGAATAAATTCAGTTCCTCTAATCTTTCCTATTTCCTATAATTTAAAGGGGCCACCTGGTGAAGTCACTGGGGTTACCCCACTCCCTTGTGGAATCATCTACCCAGCATGCCCCGGCGACATGTATCCTATTCTGCTTCTCATGGCTCAGTATCTAGCCTACTTAGCGCACCCTCGTGCGAGCTAACAAACTCAATGACTATTTATACACTGACACTAATTGCAATTTAAAGAGTCACAGATGTGGGACATTAACCTCTAATTGGCATTTTAACCTGTGTGTGTCACCTTGTGTGTCCTGTACCAAGGCCAAACATTCCAGGGTATGTAAACTTTTGATCAGGGCCATTTGGGTGATTTCTGTTATTTGTTATTACAAATGGCTTCAAATGATCACTATCCTTAAATAAAAGATATTTTTTTGCATGATCAGTCATATTTTCAATGGTAAAGTGTTACTAAACCCAGGACCCTGCATTCACTATATCTGGTCTCCCATAGTACACACAACATGGAAATGCAATTATTTTAGTAAATATAAAACTGCTAAATACCTTTTCTCATCGGCAGTATATAGCAGTCTTGTGACTTCAGCGGAGGACTGGTTAAAGCTTGCAGGAGTTTTCTTTCTGCTCTAGGAGGATGCAAAACCCCTGACCCTCTGTCTGGACAGTGCTGATTGGCTCTGTGCTGATCACATGAACTCTTCAAAGAAAAAAAAAAACAACCTCTAGCAATACACACTAAACTAAGCATGTGCAGAAGAGCTATGGGTTCAGTCTGTCTTATCAGGAGGTAAGACGTTGCCATTTGAACAAGAGTTAGGGCAGAGAAGACAGGATCAAATCGCCTTTTTACACAATGTGGAGGATTAACCCCTTAGGTTAGGAGTGAGTATAACCAGCATACTTTACTGCATATACAGACTGATTTTATTATTGTAGGTTTATTAATACTTTAATGCCAATATATAGCAGCTCTGTCAGACCGAATAAAAAGTCTGACATTTTAACATAGCTGCGCTACGGCATTAATAGTACTATGCTGCCATCTAGAAATTGCAGGCAGAAGGAAGTGGAAAGAGCTATAAACTTTCCAAATAAAAGGCTTGCATGTTAATGTGACACTAAACTCTGGCTTAAATAAAAAAAATCTATTCTTACTACGAAAAAAGTACCTTTTATTACTCTCAGCCCTCTAGTCTCCATCATCCTGTTAAAGGGTGATTATGTTTCTCAATAGTCCCATCAGATATAGAAATGTGCCCACCCTCTTCTGTTTGCTCTAGGGACTATGGGATTTGTAGTGTGTATAGAGAAGTGTACATGACCACAAATGACATGCACTGATTGTTCCAAACAAATTGAAGTAAAGGGTAAAGGGAGACATTTAGGAGCTCATGCAACTTATGTTTACAGTATTTGCTAGGAAATAATAGATAGCATATGCATGTATGCTTATTTGATAATCACAGAAAAAGGATTGTGTGAAGATTCACTTCAGTTGTCCAATCATATGCAGATGAAATAAACACAAGGTGCTGGGTAACTGAAATTTCACACTTGTGTAAACATTCCCAAATTCTTTAGTAAATGTCTTTGTTTTCTCCAACTGTAAGTTTATTACACAGTTTTATTATTTTAGCACATCAATATATTACTGGGTTTGTTTCCATGGGAGCAGGAAGAGGTTACTTCTACTACCAATTACAGCCAAGATTTATTAGTGGGAAGAGGGGCATCTTTTGGCTTTAGTGTCCTGGCATGGAGAATTTATTCGTAGGCAGGCTGAATCAGGGAATCCCAGACCACAATAAATGGCGCTTGAATAGATGATACTTGCAGCCAATTTATTACACATGAGGAGTTCCCACAGTCCATTTGATGGCTTCATCAGTGAATATCCACCTTCTGTGTTTCTTCTACCAACCCAAAATTTTACTAGAAAGACCTCCTTATCCAGAGACATTGGCAACATCATAATCCTTGCAGACGGAGTCTGAATACATGGTTTTTGAGAGGGAAACACTGAGCTTTTGGGCTGTCTTTTTGGGGTATCAACACATTATTAATAGCTTGAAAATAATCAACAAATAAGACATTATTTATGGACAAGACTTTTCAAGTTTGTGGCGGCAATGGTTTCAGTCTTAAGAAAGGGCATCCCCCCACTGTCAGAAGTCATTCAACTGAACAAGTTGTAACTTTCTGGGCCTGTCATGCCTACAGTTTTACAGCAGTGAGCTGAACCAGTTGGTCCTCAGCCAACGTTTTCATACCAGATTATAAACTTGATGTTATCTCTTGGTCAATTTGGTAAGTTAGTCCTTTGAGCAGTTCTTTCTTTCTATGTTCTTTCCCTTTTTGTGTTTATTGCTAGTTATGTCACTGCTGTCATGAAGAGTATAGGAGTAAAGAAAATTGACAGTATTTACTGTAATTTTCCTTTCTGAGCGACTCTTGACAGAATAATTCCCTCAGTGTCCTGTTTGGAACCATGGGGCTATGTGTATTCTCTCATTTACAGACTAGTTAGGATAGTCCTGTGGGGTCAAAAGGGCAGAGCTGACACAAACTAGCTGACAAACTATGCTTTCTTATCCCTTGAGGAACTCAAAGTAATTTGGATTATACTTCTGCCTACAGGATTGAAGACAAACAAAAAACCAAAGGCCCGACAAGGACTATCCCTCAACTACCACTATGCCTCAGTTTTTTGCAGGGGGATGGACAAAGTAAATTGGATTATACTTCTGCCTACAGTTGGATTGAAGGCAAACAAAAAAAAAACTGGAGGCCAGACAAGGACTATTCCTCGAACTGCCTCAGTTTTTTGCTAGTGTAAACGTAAAGTAAATTGGATTATACTTCTGCCTACAGTTTGATTGAAGGCAAACAAAAAACTGGAGGCCAGACAAGGACTATCCCTCAAACTACCATTATGCTTCAGTTTTTTGTTAGTGTCCTAGAGGGATGGACATCTTTTCATAAGTTTTACTGTTAATAGACTATCCTATTTTTATTGACATTATACTCTTTTATTAAGATTCTTATGGTTTCCTCTAACTCATCAGCTGCTGCAACTTTTCGATCCTAAGTTCCTCCAGTCTTTATTTTACAAGCTTACCTCATAAGAGTTGCAGCCTTCTGCTATTACTCATGAATTGTTTGTATTGGCTCTTAATAATGTGGTGTGCTCCACCCTGAAGCTAAAGGATCTTCTAGCAGTGCTAGCCCCAGTCTTGGGTCCTTTAGAGCCGCTAAGCCATTAAAGACTTTTTTATTGCACCCACTATTCCAATTCTTCCTCTACAGAGATTGGAAATATGCTGGCAAGATGTTTGCTCTCCCCATGCTCTTGTTAGACTTGTAC